ACACGTCATGAATGGCCGACAGATCCCCCAGCCGCGTAACCACCAGGCAGCCAGCCAGCCAGCCAGGCGAACATCGCCATTGCCCCCTGTAACCCCGCCTCCTCCCGCCCCGAGGTTGAATTCCGGGGATTTAGGGTTTTATCTGTCCGTCTGTCTGTCTGCGAGCCAAGGCCCAGCATCACCCTCCCCACCACCACCACCACCACCACGACACCACCTTGCCCGCCCCGCAGTCCCGACCCCCCCTTTGTTGGTGGGGAGGGGGCCCCCTCCAGCCCCTTCCCCCTCTTTTTCCACCCTCGCTCTTCACGCCTCCAACAATTCCCCCCACCCCCACCCCCCACACCTTGTCATCATCCGCAAAGTAGCGCTCCTTCTCCCCCGTCTGTCGATTGTAGCGCTCAGGGGGCTTCCCGCCGCCACCACGACGACTTGCCCCCTCCCCCCCCGCCCCCGCCCCCGCCCCCGCCGCCTCCCGCCCAAACGCCCCCCGCACCGCCCGGCCCCGGGAGTCCACCAGCGGCAACTGAACTACCTCCACCCCCCGACCGCCAACACTACTGCCGAGACCAGCTCCGAGACCAGCGCCACCGTGACGGCTCGGAGCTATGGGAGGTGCGGGCAGGGAGATGATAGGTGGGGTTGGTCTGGGTGGGGCAAGACACACACATACATACATTCATATACATACATACATACGTACAGGCAGTGAAGCAGAGCCTGTATGTGGAACTGGTGTTGCGGTGTGAGAACCCGGCGCCGCCTGGAGACAAGTCCGGGGGAGAGGGGGGAGAGAGAGGGGGGGAACAAAAGTCCTTATCCCCCCACCCCACCCTGGTCCAGCCCACCTTCTCCGCCATCCGGATCCGGCTTCACTGCGGGAGAGGGGGCAGCTGGTGGGGGGGAGGGCGCTGGGAGCCCCTTGAGTCGGGCGCGTAGCAGCTCAGCAGCTGACTTGTTGCCCCCACCCCCCGTAACCCCACCGGGGGGTTCGGGGGGGTCTCCGCTACCCACGAATAGCGGCGCCCGCCTGCACAGTGTGTGTATGTGTGTATGTATGTACGCATGTGTGTGTGTTTGCAAGGGAGGGGGGAAGGCGAAAGCTATGGTGTGTGGGTGGGTAGTCGTGTTGAGAGTCTGTTGTGAGGTGGGGCGGGTCGCCCACTCCTGGTACTGTGTCGCCCCTCACAACAACAACAGCGGCAGCAGCAGTGCAGCACCACACGGTGCCATCCATCCCCACCGAAAGCCCCTCCACCCTTATTGGGCAATAAGAAACCTGAAGGATTAGGTGCTCGTGGTGGTGGTGGTGGTGGTGGTAACACGTTGTTGCGTGCATGTCGGGAGGTGAGTGCGGCCCGGCCTGGGGCCAGGCTGGCCGGGACTAACGAGCCACGAGGCGGCTGATTACTCCTCAACCCCCTCCCACCCCACCCCACCCCACCCCGACCCCCCACTACCCCGTACCTGGATGCAGCTGCAGTCGGAGGCCCCCGGTCACCTCCATCCTCATCCTCATCTTCGTCACCCTCGTCCTCATGCAGCCGGCGGTTGGAGACAGCTCCCGGCTCCCGCCCCCCGCCGCGGCCATGCCCTCCAGCCCCCGCCCCCGCATCCGCACCACCACCCGCAGGGGGCACCGCCGCAACCCCCCGGTTACCAACACCGCCCCCTCCTCCCCCTCCTCTTTCCCCCGGGGCCGCTGCCACAGCTGGTGCAGCTACAGCTGCCCCCCTCCATTCCTCAGGGCTGCTGGTGGGGCCGGGACCCGGGCCCGCATCCTCCACCCCCTGCCGGGTATGGGGTTTGGGGTTTGGGGGGTTGCGGGTTTTAGGTGGAAGGGCGACCACCGGCCCAGCAGGTAGATATGCAGACAGACAGACAGACAGACCGCATTTCCGCGCGCGCCAGCACAATTGCACGCATACATGCATAGACACATCCATAGGCACACGAGCACATACATACACACATACAAACACGGCTTTAGGGGCCCTACCTCCGCTTGCTGCCTATTGTGGCCATGAACACTTGGCCCCTAGTGCCGGACAGTACCGGTCGTGTCGGGTGGCCGTTACGAAACACACACACATACACACTCTCCCCCACGTACCTGCTTTCCCTCCTCTTTGCCCCTCAATTGATGTACGGACATAAACCGCTCCAGGAAGGAGCCGTCATTGGTGAAGGAGTTGAGGGACCCAGCCAGCTGTCGGTGTGTGCGTGTAAAGGGGGGGGGGACAGAATGGAGGCGTTTGGGAGGGAGGGGCCACCGCAAGGGGGTCTCAAAAGGGGTTGGGGAGATCAGTGGGGCTCCGCGAAGCCCGGCAAAACACAGTTGTACGGAGTACGGCACTCTCCTGCTTTACCTGCTGTAGTGCAGCTGCCTGCTCCTTGGAGGGGCGGCTCGCGGCCCCCCGTGGAGGTCCACCACCTCCACCTCGGGCCGCGCCATCAGGTCCCCCGGACCGCTCTCGCGCCCGCTCCCGCTCCCGCGCCCGTCCTCGCTCGCGATCCGAGTAGTCCCAATCCCGATCTCGCTCCCGCCAGGGCGCCTTCACGTCCTCCGGGTGATCACTTCCGACCCCGGGCCGTCGCTCCGAAACCCTAGGGTTATGAAACCCTCGGTCGCCGTAACGGCCGTCATGGCGGCAACCGGACCCCCCCGGGTCGTCCATCCGCCCCTCGCGGCTCCCTTGCCGTTGGGCCCCCCGGTCGGGCCCCCCTCCTCCTGCTCCTTCTCCTCCTGTTGCTCCTGCTGATGGTTCCCGCTCTCCTCTCCCCCTCCCCCGCTCGTCTTTTTTGTCGCTGTCCTCGTGCCGCTCGAGGTCCCGTTCCCGTTGTCCCTTGTCCGAGAGGTTCCTGTCCCCCTCCCCCGCCCCCGCCCCCGGTCGCTCTGTGTCCCTGTCCCTGGCCCTATCCCGCCTCCAGCTGAGGGAGCCGGTGTCCTCGGAGGGCCGCAACATCTTGGTCCTGGCACCATCGCCCCGCACGTCCTGACGCAGTAGCAGTGGGGCAGTAGTCGTGGGGCAGTAGCAGTGGGACAGTAGTCGTGGGGCAGTAGCAGTGGGGCAGTAGCAGTGGGGCAGTAGCAGTGGCGCAGTAGTAGTAGTGGGGCAGTAGTAGTGGGACAGTAGTAATGGGGCAGTAGCAGTAGTGGGGCAGTAGCAGTAGTGGGACAGTAGCAATAGTGGGGTAGTAGTAGTGGGGCAGTAGCAGTAACAGTAGTATTTGATCCTGTGGGGAGTGGCAACTGACACTGCCCAGCAGCACCGGTGGACGTGGTGGCCAGGTACCAGTGCCTAATCAGGACCCCAGCGAGGCGGGTCCGGGCCAAGGGGAAGGACTAGACCAGGGAGGGCTCTCTCCTCAGGGAGCTGTGTCCTTTGTTGGAGTCTTCATGACACACACCGGGTCCACCTTCCCTCCCTTAACAACCCAATGGTTGCGAAAGTGTACGAGAGTATTTAATGCCTGGCCACTGTCTGGCCGCGACATTCAGATACGGGAGTACGTACGACCGGAACCGTTCGTACTCACCTGCAGGTAGTGCGGCACCACGGGCTGGGCGCCCTCCCCCCCCGCCGCCGCCGCCGCGCGTCTGCGCTCCGCCGCTGGCCGCAGATGCGCCTTGCCTGTTCGGGCAACAGACAACAACAACCAGCCGTGCACCGGCGCACGGAGGGCGGGTGTGGAGAGCACATGAGAAACAGGATGATACGGCAGTGCAAGTCCGCTGTACAAGACCATGCGAGGGTCAGGTGCTGGTGCTGGAGATCCTGTGCCCGCCCCCAATGACCCAGTTCCTGATCCTGACCACCATCATCACCAGCAGCAGCAGGTGGCAATAGCAGCAGCATTAGCCGGTCTGAAGTGCGTGCTGTGATCTGCCCTCTCCCAAACCTCTCCCCCTCCAAATGACCACCCCATATCTCCTTACCACACTTCCCCCACCCATCGCTATGCCACTACCACCCCATCGCTATGCCACCACTGCCCTCTTCCCTCCCCAGCTGCTGCTGCTGCCCCCCCCTTCCCCACCCACCATCCGCCGCCGCACTGCTGGTGAGCGCCCCGGTGAGTTGCGCCAGGGAGCCCCACCGCTCACCCACCACCTGCGGGCCCGGGGGGGGAAAGACGAACCACACACGAGTGAAGCTGCTGCCAGGGCAAGAGAGTATCAAACGTAGAACTGACCGAAAGGCGTCCGTGAAGACCGCGAGCTCGGGATGACGAAGTGAAGAAGATGTCGGAAAGACTACCTACCTAAGCCGCCAGGACTAAAAAAGCAGCAGAAATAGTATTGCCATGCCGTAAAGAAGTAGGTGTAGAAAAGTAGGTGGTGTGAAGGCGGCGGAAAAGTAGTAAAGCAGTGCTGTCGTAAAGCTGGCATAAAGTTGCTGGCCTGGAGAATTAGCTGATTTGCTGGTACTGAAAGGCTGTCGGTATGCAAGTGCTCCTCCCAACCCCCCAAACTAAAACGCGCGACCGACCCGACCGACCCGACTATCCTAGTCCGGCTAGCCGACCGACGCCAACGCGATATACCGAAGAAGCTCTAACCACCCTTTGGACTCACCTGGCCAGGCAGCAGAAGCAGCGGGCAAAGACACATGCGAGGCAGAGAGGTGGGAGAGTTGTGAGCAGCGAACGATAAATACAAAAACGCATGCAAATGCTGCTGAAAGGGAGTATTAAACTGGCTGACCGGGGAAGCTGGACCTATATGAAAACGGAAGAAAAACGCAGGAACTAAAAAACAATTGCAAAGGCGGCGCAGGACGACACAGAAGGTGTCGTACGGGATGACGGAATGACGCATTGGACGGGATGACGCATTGGACGACGTGTACGCCGGCACAACGCAAAGAAGGTAGAAATGGAGAAGTGGGTTGGAAAGAACGCAAACGCGAACGTTCTTTCCAACGCAAAAGAAAGGCCCAAGGGAGGAGAGGGAGTTGGTAGGAAGAGAAGCGCAAGTGCGCGGGCCGGGGCCACCCGTGGCTCCCGCCAACCTGCGCGCACTAGGGGCATGTGCATGCAGCCCCGTAGTGCCTAAGACGTGGGGAGGGAACGTGGGGGAGGACGTCAGGGGGGGGAAAGACGAACCACGAACGAGTGAATGTGCTGCCAGGGCGGGGGGGGGGGGTAAGGGGGCTGTCGTGGTAGGTTTTCCCTTATACGTGGGAGCGGGGACCCGGGGGATGTGGCCTGGAGTGAAGAACCTGACAGCGAGCTGCACACACACACACACACACGCACACACACATGCATGTGTCCCAGGCCAGGCGTGTGCAAGGAAAAGGTCATGCGGCAGGAAAGGTCCCTGGACCCAGTCAGACTGCTGGTAGGTGCAGCTTTGCCCCCCTGAGGGTCACCCTCTTTTTCGTGTCCACATTTCTCTCCTCTCCCTCCGCCCCCGATGCGGACCCCCCCAGCCCTCCCCTCCACATGGAACATAACTCCTGCGACATGAGTGTCCGCACTTCGTCGGTCCATCCCCGTACGCTCCTTTCCCGCCCCTCACCCGGGTTTGCGCGTTCCCTTCCCCGCACCCCCTTTAGCACGCCACTCCCCTCACCCGTGAAGGGGCCCCCCCTGCCCTCCAAGCACCCCCACCTCCTGTAAGCTGCGACCCTCAGCCCGGGCTTGCTCCTGCGCCCTACGAAGCGCCTTCAACCGCCAACTGGCTCCGCCGTCGCCAACAAGCCCGCCGCCGCCGCCGCCACCACCACCACCGCTTGCTGGAGCTGTAGCCATCCCCGCGGCCGCGGCTGCTGCCTCCGGCGCCGCTGAGTCAGTCGTCTTCATAATCCTCAAGCCCGCCACGACTTCGGACCCGGCCGGTGCTGCCTGGATTCGAACCCGACCGGGCAAGGTGTGAGAGGACGACACGCAGGCAGCTGCATGCCGATTGCGACGGCAATCCGAGGGCTCGACATTCCACCCTCAACCCCGAGTCGCGCCCCAGTTCCATGCCTCCCTTCTCTCAACCCTGCTCTTCTCTTCTCAATCCGAGACAATCCCCCGTCTGCCCGATATCGCCCCCGATGTATTGCCGTCCATGTGCCGCCCTCTGTCCCAATTTCTCAGGTGCGAGTGCATGTGTATGCATTTCCGGGTTTAAACCCTCCTTATCCTCCGGGCCCCTCACGTCTCCCCCCGCTGTCACCGCTGTCACGGGCAGCAGCAGCAGCAGCAGTAGCAGCAGTAGCTAGCAGTCAGTAACCGCATTTCAGTAATAGACGACAGCCTCCATGGACGCGCTTACACTCCCGGTCCGCACCGCACAGCCCCAGCCGTGGCCTTCCTCAGGCGCCCCCCACCACGCCCCTAAACCACTCCCCTTAGTGCGCAGGCCTTAGCGTGCAGGCAACTCTTGAGGCCCTGTCATGTCCATCCTCCGGCCCCCCCCACGGCTGCGTCACGTTTCACCCCCACACGGGACACCTGCTTCCGCCGCTCCTCCTCCTCCGCCTCCTCCTCCTGATGCTGTTGTTCAGCTTTGGTGGGCTCGCGCTTCATGGGCTTGGTCATCCAGTCCTCCCGCTGTAGGGGTGGAGGGCCTTCGGCTGGCGGAGCTGGGGTTGGGGGGATGTATGTCCGGAGGGGGACCGCGGAGTTGGATCCAGAGGCAATGGAGTGGGAAGGAAGGGAGAGGTTTGGCTCGGCTCGACAATTAGGTGTCTGCTTGTCGGTTGTGCATTTATGGCCATTGCAACGCGGTACCAAACACTTGTTGGAACTGACTATGGGAATGGTGGACGGGGGGGGGGGGCTACCGGAAGACGGCTGGTTGACACAGGAAGGGCGACGAAGAGGGGAAGGATATGGCCAACACCGGCGTCTTGACCACGGCCACGACCACACTGAAAAGAGGCTGGTGGCGCAGCTAAATTGGTCATGATGATTGACAGTGAGCCAATTACCACCACCGCAGAAGACCACAGCAGGGAAGTGGCTAGGGCAGATGCCCATTCGCCGCCGGTTAAACCCCCCACCCGAGCTCCTTTGGTCCGCTAGCCCCATCAGGCACACACCTTGCGCCGCCGTTTTGCTTCCAACGTTTGCTGCTGCGTCCTGGCCTTCATCTGTCGAATCGCCCGGGTTGCGTCCACGGTTACCTTGGTCATCGTCGGAACCGCTTTCGCCAGAGCTGTTGCCTGAATTAAAAGACAACAGTCATGGCAAGAATTCCAAGCACCGCAACGAAAATTGGTCAATAACTTACTTGCTGCCCTCTTTTCGCGTTTCTCTTTCTTACTCCGCTTTTCCTTCTTCTTTTTCTTTTCCTGAACAACATCATAATCATGCCCTAGTAGTTCTTTAAATCCCTTTAGAATAAGATAGCGCGGGGCAGTCGGCAACACACCTTCTTGTCTTTCTTCCTTCGCGCCTCGCCGTCGTCAAGCACCGCCCTGCTTGTAAACGTAACGCCCAGCATTGGATCAGGCGGTTACCCTAAATTCATGGAATCCTCATAAAATGCCAAGGTTCCAAGCTAAGGTGGTCAACGTGACGAGCTGTAACTACTAAGATTTAAGAGCGATTGTAAAACCCATGGAAAGATACGATTGCCATGAAACGAGGTAAGTCGTCTCCTGCTGACAAAACGCATCTGGGCTTTCTGTTTGTACGGCGCATGGGTTTCAGTTATTCAGGGCCCATGGGTCAAAGCGATGGATCCAGCTTCGAAGGACCTGAATAGGCCCGTCCGCTGATAGCTGCTTGAAGCTTTAGGCTTGTAGCCGCACAAAGCTCGAAAAACATTCTTGCTGACGTGCATTTGCCTTGACTTCGAATGGGCCCTGGGCCTGGCCCTTTCCTAAAGCAAACTCCATTTGTCAAACCCTGCCTGTCCGTGGTGGCCATTGAAGACCCAGTCGACAGATAAGTAGCCCCCATTCTTGGCGTCCTCACCTTTTTCCACGCGCTTCACCATCAGTAACCAGTCCCTCCGCAACACCCAATCACGTCGTGCAGCTGCGCTCTTGCATCTTCTGGTATGAGATCTCCCTGGAGTCCCTCGGAGGAGAGGGCCTTATCAGGACACACCATCGTTCACTCGATCGCCATGCAGCCCTCTGTCCCCCCTCGACTCCCCTCTACTCGGCAGATCTCATCTGCACTAGCTAGGCTGAATGGCCGCCCGCGGTAGAAAAAGCAGTTCTTGACATGGCTGTGGATTACCCGGCAGCAGTTTTACAATATATTTTTGTTCATTGCTTACCGTACTAACGATACCGTTCTGATTATTTTCATAAAAGCTATGACGAAATTCCTTTTGCTAATTCCTTTTATGTATTCATAACGGGCGTACGGGGAGGACGTGGGAAGAGAAAGACGAACGGACACAGATTGAGGTGACCCCGCCCGGACATGGCACGAGAGCACACGCATGCGCGTGCCTCCCCCCTCTTATGTGCCTTCCTCATGTTTGGATGTGTGCAGCATCCGGCGGGTGGGTTGCACGATGGGTTGAGTGTTTCGGTTTCCCCGTCATTCGCCTGGTGGGCATGTAAGTCGGCACAGCCCCTATAGCCGGCGAAGCAAGCAAGCAGGCAGGCAAGTGTTGTGGTAACGCATGAGTGACATGCGAAGTGTCACGTCCGAGAAGGATTCATTCAAAATGGCTAGGCAGGCTAGGGTTCAACGGTCGTGATTGACGAAGGGACTTCGGCCCGTCACTGATTGACGGTCGAACGGTTTTGATAACCATTCCGCTCGACAGCGGAGCAGGACTGCGTCTCATTCATGGCAGCCTGCGGCTGACCTTACCACGACATCTCAATCACGTAAGGATTACTCCACTTCAACTACAACTACGTCTACTCTTCTTGGAGCGGCTCTCCGATTGTCTAAATCTGAACCCTGGAGCCGCCAAGGGGAGATACCATTACAGCAAGCGGGGTACGTCAGGGGTCCGCTCTCATGGCGCCGATGGATGCTGTCAGAGCCTGTGGACATCTACGACATCAGGCAGAGTACGGATTCCGCAGGGTACGGCACATTTATGGATTCTGTGTAAAGGTACTGACTACTGCATGGCTGTTTTTGAGCCTAACGTGATCGGTGCGACTTTTCTCAGGCCACCTTTCGACAATATGCATGCTTCCAAGTGGTGGATGTGATGGTGATGGTGTGTCCAAATCCGACGGTTTTGATTGACAGTGGTGTTGTGTCTGGGCTTTTGCAGTCGGGACCCCATCTCCCCGCTATTCCTTGCGTCCCTGTCCCAAAACGTTTCTTCCCCTTACCTTCCTTCCTTCCTCCCTCCCACCCTCCCACATTAAACTGGCCTTGATTTTCATGTAGTTCAAAGTGACAGAGAAATGGCAAATGATTGCAGGTCATTCTATTAATATCCTTACTTTCTACTTGAAGATTATGAAGAAGGACCTCCCACCCTCCCACCCTCGCTAAGTTCTTGTTAATTTCGTTACGGCGGTTGGGCCCCCCACAGCTTTTTGACCTCATGCAGTCGTCCACCACCTTCACCATTCCCTTGCTTTCCTTCCTTCTTCCCTTTTGCAGCCTCGTCTTAAAAGGCACGCACACTCACGAGCTCATGCCGCACCTGGTGACAAGCCTACGCCTCCACCCAGCAGTGGGCCGAGGCCAAACCGGCCACCGGCGGTCTACTCCGGCGTGTCAAAGCAGGAGGGGCCACAGCAATAGTGAGTGCGAACCTGGCACCCGGAAACGGGCGGCTGCAGGTAGAGGGCAGTTCCAGCTACCCACGGGTAGGCGGTCGTATGCTGGTCGGCTGCTTGTGGTCGCGCCCTGTGGTCTCCTCCATCCACCTGCCAGCCAGCCCTCCTCGGTCTACTGCGCAATCGTGCTGCAGCCAACAAGCCAATTCAAGCACACATATGTGCAATTCGACAGGAGTTGCATGCATGTCACGGGCTTGTGGTTTCCGGGACGTATACCTGTCGCGGACAGGAAAATGTCACACGGATGGATTGTGGGCACAACATAGCCCTTAGGAAAGACTGGTCCGGAAAAGCGATTGAATCGTCCGTGAAGATATACTGCGGTTAAGCCGAGTGTGACGTCCTAGAGAGCCTTGACGTACCAGCTGACGGCGGTGATGGTGTGCGGACGTGTGCGCAACTACCTACCAAGACCCACCAGTCCCGTTCGCTTCTTCCCACCCGGACGAGTTCTCCGATACCCTCTGTGAAGCAGTTGATAACGTGATTTTCAAAGCTCGGTACGACTTGTTTTGCGTGTTAAGCTTCTTTTGCCGTCGCACTTCAGTGTCCGACTCAATCCTACAAAAGCATTCAAATCCTGCTCAACCAGACCCTGTCCCTCCCTGCCGCCTAGAAGCACTGCATAACTGAGAGCTTAATTTATGTGAAATGTAAAATCTACAATAACATGGGTAATGATAAGTGCAGCTTAAGGAAAGCCTGCGCCCGGCATTCCAAACTTCGACGTGTTGGTGCTCAGAGGAAACTATAGAATCGCCAGATATGCGATGTGATAATGTTGTTTATGGCAAAGGAGACGCATAAAGATTGAACCCATTGGCGCATATGTGCAAGGGTACGGAGGTAGGTAAAGGAGGTAGGTTTTCATATCAGCTATGTTTAGGGTTGATAATAGCCTAATTAGATGTCAAATGGGTTTTGTGGCATTTGTTTAGGACGTCTCCAGTCTGTTTTGGGTCAAATCAAAAGCTGTCCCCGCCAACCGCCAACCATTAAGCTGCATTAAGTTGCCTAGCTGAAGGAAATCGATGCCATTTTTGCCCAAATTTTAAAGTCAACAAATGAGACATAGTTTGTGCTCTGAAGTTTGTGAAGTTATGAAGCAGACTTAATCCACGTGCGCTCTCCTGCCTCCTGCGCGGCGGACGGTGCCATTAGCATGTAACCGTACTCCCGCGGCTGAGTCCCCAATAGAACTCTTGCTTGCCCACATTTGGCCACAGTCCATATGGAAGTACTTTTGATCTGCCAAGTAGATGGATTCCATCTCTTTGGCCCATACAGTCTAAGGCAATTTGAATCCGTACGTAATACACCGCTTCAACAGACGCTATGGTTTTGCCTCCTAGAAGCGCTGCAAACCTCTTGTTCATTAACAGCTATAAATTGAATATTGAACGAATGTTTTATCGCTGTGAAACGGGAAAGAGTATAACTCATGCCTAGACTCACTTGTCACGGACTTGGAGCCCGAGCGGCAGCCAAGGCTCAATACTTGTTAGTAGCATTAGCCACGATATTGTAAGTTGTCTGCACTGTCATCATAGGTACGGGGAATCATCCTGTCCAATGTTCGCGCCAGAATTGGCAAGCCCTCTGGCCGCATTGTTTTCTGCAGTTCGTCGACAGCTTCTTCAAGCGGACTGAAATGCCAATCAGGAATGTATCGGCTTGGGTTTTACTCGGACCAGCAACGCGCGGATAACTTTTGTCTCCTCGTCTTCGCCGACTCAAATCGCTGTGCGGGCATACAATGCCAGTCTGCCACGCTTTCGAGCATATCGATTTCAGTACGTAAGTAAAAACCTTTTTGGGCGGGGCCCCAGCGCGAAGCGCCCAGGGGGGCCCCGACCTGTAGGATTGCCCATGTCCGTGTGTGTGTGTGTGTGTGTGTGTGTGTGTGTGTGTGTGTGTGTGTGTAACGGACCAAACATAATATCTCGCCCGGCTGAAACGCGTTATAGGTACTATACAGCATTCTCTATTGCAAGGTATCTCGCATGTAGCCAACAAAAATCGTATGAGCACAAACAAGTTTGGCTGCCTCAATTGACCGAGGCCAAAGTCACATCAACGCCTCTCGCGCTAAATTTCATCTCAAAAGGTACCGCGTATCTCATATTTGAATTCTTAGATGACGGCGTATGATAACTCGAACTCCCAGGCCTTGAGTGTGTAACGGACCAAACAGAATATTTCACCCGGCTGAAACGCGTTATCGGTACTATACAGCATTCTCTATTGCAAGGTATCTCGCATGTAGCTAACAAAGACCGTATGAGCACAAACAAGTTTAGCTGCCTCCATTCACCGACCTCAAAAGCCACATCAACGCCTCTCGCGCTAAATTTCATCCCAAAAGCTGCCGCGTATCTCACAATGGAATTCTGAGATGACGGCGTATGATAACTCGAACACCCAGCTTGTGTTACCATTTGCCGGCATGGGCAATCCGACTTGCCACCAGCAGGCCAACATAATTTGCTTTCATTTCTCTATGAAATACACAAGCTCCTTGTTTGTACATTTACTTTGGCCAATGCACGGGGCCCTCCTGAGACTTGCGGTGTGCCCCGATGAACCCCGCGGCTGTGGGGCAGATTGCTGAGGCCGCTGGCGTTCGGGGGATAAACATCACAGACAGCACCGAAATCACCCCAGCTTTCGTAACCATTGCCCGCACGGGCATTCCGACTTGCGGTCTGCCGCACTGTCCATGCGGCATGCACCCGGAATGGATGCGGTTCGCGTGGAGCCCGCAGGCGGTGCTGACGATTCCGCCAGTGCAAGCTTAGCTCTCACACCATCAGCACTGCTGCAACAAAGCATATCTCCCACCGCGTTGACACTACCCATCAATTGTCACCCTTGCCACCCTTGCTACCGGCCTGTACGGATGCAGAGGGGCCCCGCCCTTTTTCCGGCTTCCTTGAAGCCGACACCCAACTTGTCTACAGCTCACTCACTCCAATTTGGTGCCACTGGCGTTGGTTCGTTTGGGGCGTACACGAGCGCCGAGCACATTACAAAAAGCGTCGCGCAACATTCCTTTACTTGGCTGCTAATCCACACTGTCAACTATATCGCAACGTACCTACTTACATAATTAAACTTGCAGGATCAGAATGTTTTAATTCAAGGAGCAGGTTGGCGGCGGTGCTGTATGTACCTGGTCGGCCGGGGTCCATCGCGGTGCCAGTGTCGTATCGCAATGGCCCGGCCGACTCCCACCGCGGGCAGCTGCTGCTGTCGGGTCTAAACCTGAAGTCCTCAAATGCAACTGGGTCGCGTGTGTGTCTCGCGGTGCAAACCCGCGGCACTTGCAGCGATACGCCCGAGGGCTGGTGTGAACCGCCCTCGTCGCAGCTTCGCCACCAGCGAAATCAGCACCAGCAGCAGGCGCTAGGGGCCTTATGCACCGCGCGCCTCTCTAACGAGTCTGGCTCCTGGTGCTCCTTAGTGATCGCAGCTGTGCCGACTCCAGCGCGATCCAGAACCACCCCACCAACGCCACCGCTACTACCGCTTTCCCTTTCTCTCCCGATCCCCTTACCCGCGCAATCATTTCCACAGACACCGTCCCACTCCGCCCTCCCCTCCAACGGGCGGCACCTGAAATTCTCAGCATACAGAGGAGCTCCCCGCCACGTCGTTGCAGCTATAACTACTGCCGGTACCTACTACCTCCGTGCCGGTCTGCGCTCTGCTACAGCTGCCGTTTCCGTGGCAGCGAGGAGGCCCGTCGGTATCCTTCCCGGTCACGACAGCTCGCTGTCGAAGCGATCCACATCGCCGTCGTCCTGGCGTTTCTGCATGCTTCTGCCGTCTCGCTTTTTGGCAAGGCAGAGGACACAGCCTCAGCAGCGAAAGCTTGTGCTACAGCCGCCGCCGCCGCCACCGCCGCCGCAGCAGCAGCAGCGGCGGATGGCTGTGCTAGGGGCAAACATTTTGCCGGGCGCACCGCGGCGGTTGTTGTCGGCAAAATTGTCGCCCTCACCTTTGCCACTTCTGCCATCTTCCATGTCAACCGCCTCGTCGCCAGCACCCGCTGGTTCCTCTTCTACGCCGTGCTCGGTGTGCATCCATGTGGAGGTGATACCGCCGCCGCCGCCGTCGCCGTCGCCTCCGCCACTGGGGCAGCTGCTGCTGCGCGGCCGTAGCGCATTGCGGCCAGACCCGCCCTCCCTGAGTCGTCAGAGTTGCGATGACCTGGCGAGCCGGATCGCCACTTTCCTGAATGGCATTCCATCGCGCACTGACTATTACAATTACAACTACTATGATGACGACGGCTACAGCCACGGCAGTTTGGATAATGGCAACGCCAACGCCTCTGCCCCAGGTATTACGCTGCGACAGCAGTTTCGCTTGGAGAGCTGTGATGCGTCTTCCTTGCGTGTGTGCGGTTCATACAACAATCCGGAAGGGGTTGATTCTCGAGCGGTGGCGGTGTGGAGCTTCCGGCTAGGTGATTTCCTCCAGGAGTTGCTGATGGGCCTTCCAGCCCGGGTGCTCTCAACCTCTGAGGCCTCGGGGTCGTCAGCCTGCGAGTCACGCGGGGGCCAGCTGGCAGGATACACGTTGAGGGCATACGGGCAACCTGTATCTGGGGGCAGCGATGGCAGCGACTCATCTTGCATCGGTTTTAAGGAAGTGCAGCGGCAGTGTGTAGTGGCGGCGGCGGCAACAACAGTCATGACGGCGACGGCGACGGCGGCGGCGGCGGCTACATCAGCGGAATCGAGTCAGACGGCGACCACACTCGGGTTGGCGGCGGCGTCGACTGCGGCCGCGGGTACGACGGTTATTATGGCGGCGAAAGGGGGGGTGGCCGCGGCTTCGGCTACGATGGCAATGCCCCGCAGCCCCTCCTCTCCGCCACCACCAATACCGTCCTTGTGTGTGGGCCTGCAGATGGGGAACCCCAGCGGGAGCTCGTGCCCACAGGAGGCCAGAGTCTCCTTCCAGCTGCAGCTGATGTACAAAATCAAGGATGCCGCCAACAGCAACAACCTGAAGTTGGACTGGTCCCAACAGGTCTGCACCTCTACGGATATCATCTTTTGCACGAGCGTCAACACAACCAGCAACTTTGCGGACTTGAGCGAGATGCTGGGAATTGTCCTACCAAGTATTGTCAAGAAGCTCTGCAACGACAGCGGCGCCCCACTGGCGTCACGTAAAAACATTCTATGGTACGGCAGTTATCCGTTGATTAGCTCTCAGCCAGTTACGGCATTGACTTTCAGCAGCTGTTTGATACCGCCGGCACCACCGCCGTCACGAAACTCCCAGCCGCCGCCATCGTTGATGTCGCCCCCTCCCCGGCCTCTGGTCCCCCTGCCGTGCGTGTACGGCTCCAACGCGTCGTCTGTTGGACCACTGAGGCTGCGTCGGGAAGTGCAGGTGGGGGGGTTGGGGGGGCGGGGGGGCGGGGGGGTCAGGAAGGATCCAAGGTGGGGGTGGATCCCTGCAGACGCGGGGCCAGTGGTACATGTTTTGTTGTCTGGATAAGACACGCCGTCCCGGAGGGTCACTCCTTTCCCGACTCTCCCCCTTCCCCATCCACCACCGTCGTTCGAATGCAGATTGAGTCCAACATCTCCATTCAGGGAGTAGCCCTGGGGCGATCTATTCCCTGCTTCGCGCTGGAGGTGGCATCAGACAGCAGCACAACCCCGCCCAATGTGAGTACGGCACCTCGCCGAGCCAGCTGGAATGCCGTATATCCGACCATCGACCAAAATGTTCGGCACTTGATATATTTTGCGGCTGCAGTGCTGACGCTATGGCAATGACGGGTGCACTGCTGGCTTAGCGAACGAAGCGGGAGGAGGTTTGCGAACGTGACCGCTGCGGGCCCTGATCCCAATGAGTTCCTATGTTCGGCTCCCGCACATATGCTGCGTCACTTTGTGTTCTCCTTGGGCTCAGTCGAATCCCCGTGTCAGCCCCCCCCTCCCCTCCCCTCTCACTTCCCCTCCCCTCCCCTCTCACTTCCCCTCCCCTCAGGCCTGCAACGCCACCCGACTGACCGGCCTCATATTCCGGGCCAGTGACACCGCGAAATCAGCCCTCAAAAGCATAATCTTCCGTACAGCGCTGGGGGACATACAGGCGAATTCAAGCTCAATATGGAAGCTATGGAACACCCTGCCAGGCAGCAGCAGTACAAACAACAGCAGCAGCAGCAGCAACGTCAGCACCACCGTGCCCGACACGCTGGCTGTCCTGGAACAGTTGATGGACCCCAAGGACTTCCCATCGAGGTGGACGGTGGACCAGGTCCGGAGCCAGTCAGCTGTGGGACGAGCTCGCGTGTGTTTGGACATCGAACCAAAACTGCTCCGGGACTTCTGCATGGGTGATACGTGTATCGTACACCTGTACTACAGCGCGTCGTGCTGCCCGGCGGATTCAGCCACCTTCCCGGTGACTAGCTGATTATTGAATGCAGGGGTGCGGGGGGGGTAGCAGGGGGGGTAGCAGAGGGTAGCAGGGGGGGTAGCAGGGGGTAGCAGGGGGGGTAGCAGGTAACGCGGCCCTGGGCCCTGGTGGATTAGGTAGCTAGGGGGGACCCTGGCGGGTTATCAGTGCATATTCATTAACTTTCACATGCACATCACATGCATGGATAACACCGAACCAAATGCCTCTACACGGAAGAATAAGAAGAGGGCATTGTGTAGATAGACTGGAGGTAGGGCGCTGATGATAGCAATGGAGGAGTAATAAAGCATGCAGGGATGGGGCCCGCAAAGCGGTAAGTGCAAGTGATGTGTTTTGCAAGTGATGTGTGGTGTTTCCACACACGCCGGACGACTTGCAGGTGTGCTCAGGTTCGTGCTTAGGTGTAGGCTGCCTACATATGCACGGTTGGGCTTTCGGCTATACCGGCTCATTCATGGCAGGAAGCGCTGTGTCGTATCTGGCTGGGCTGGGCGGCGGCTCGGGGTGTGCGGGGTCGAAACCCGATAACAGAGGTGTGCAGGAGTAGTTTTTACTTGGTCCCCTACCTGACATAATCACCGATACGGCTCACACATGGACCATACGAAGAGGATAAACGCACATGCGACATTCACAGCGACCTTCTGTCGCACGCTTACACCATTGTGAATTGGAATTGTTGTACGGCACGTGGTCGGGCGTTTCATTGGATTTCCAGCCTTGGATTTCCAGCCTACTCCGATATACATATCTCCTGCAAGCAGGGATAACTTGGCGTCGGCATGACAATAGTTACCCGTCCTGAGCATGTACTGCATGGTTCGTACGTACGACATAAATCGCCGTGCGCAATTCATGGGGTGGTGCCAAGATAACTGGATTGGCAGATGGGGGCGCATGGGGTTCAATACGGAGGGGGGAAGAAAAAGATTGAATTGCCGTCGGTGCAGGGGTCGATTCGGGAATCCGAATGTGATTTTGTGCCGTTTGGTGGGATTGGGTTCGGGGGTCTCAATCTGCAAGTAGCCACTCGCGAACTATTCACCTGTTGCTGGCGCAGGTGAGCAATTATCCACCTTTGCAAAGATCGGCAGTTGCGGGTGGCTTTTTAGCGTGTGTCCGTCATCCGTCAGGCTAAACGTCGGTCGGTTTTCATGAACCATTTTTTGACGCCCTCATTATTGCCTCTCAGCATGGAATCATGCGTGGCGGGGCTTTTCTAGATTTATTTTCTTATCTTAGCTGCAACGGCTGTTTACGGCCGTCTGTTCGCACCGGGCCACAACCCCCTCATCCCCCTCATCCCCGCGGTGGTGCCTCTGGGCGGTGGTGGCTGTGCCGGGCGGGGGCGTTATGGCGGCACCACATGTGACTCAACGGAGGCACGGCAAGTAACGGCGGGCGTGGAACGGGATTCGTGTCTTCGCCGCAGTAGTAGGGTGGGGCCGTGCGTTTGCTTGGTATGTATGATGTGTGAAACAGGGGGGTGTATCTTCGCCCGTGGCAGCTACCCTGCGAAACCCTGCCTTCCCCGGTATTTCGGGGCACCCTCATCCAGTCACCCTAGTCAACTTCTCAGTGGATCGCTCAGGTTCCGCACCCACCACCAGCATCCAACGGAATCTGCCGGGTCGACAGCGGCCCAACTCCATTCCTGGTCGGCTCGCGGGTTAACTTTATCCCAGGTCACCACCGTCCATCAACTAGGGGCGCAATGCCTTCCACCATCGGAAGGACTTTTGGGTATGTATGTATGTATGTATGTATGTATGTATGTATGTATGTATGTATGTATGTATGTATGTATGTATGTATGTATGGCTAAAATGTATGGCTAAAACGTATGGCTGGCGTGGATGGCGATGTGATTACGGTTCCATCTGCGACGTTGAAGATCCCTCATCACCAATTCGGATTAAAGCAAGGGGGCCAAGTTGTGTTAGTGGCTCCCCCTCGTGATGATCCGTCGGAGGATTGTGTTGATGAACCTTGGTTCGTTTACTCGCTCTTCATGACCGCCCATGGCCTTTCCAACTATGGGAGGCCGGCTCTTCGGACCTTTGTCCATACATGCATTAGGTGCTGCTGCGAATGTCACGGTCTGTGTACCTCGCTTGGGACCGACGCTCAACCTGGTGGATGACTGACAGGCGGATGATATGGGGCGCCTCCTGGGGACCTTCTAATTGCTCAACCAGCCCACGAGCCCACCTGCTCACTTGCTCACTCACATCGCTCTTTTCATTGTCTCGCTCACCTTTTTTCACTGGTTTTGGATTCACTTTGGACGAAGTTTTTCTGCCGGTGGGATTTTTTATTCCGCATATCGACCCTGGAGCCGCCAATGCGGCATGCCGTACACACCTGGCTGTACGGAGCTGGAGCTGTAGCTCCATCAGAACGCGGAGACCTAAATAGACCTCTCTGTTCGCATTTGACGCGTCGTCGTTGTCATCGTCATCGTTGTTGTTGTTACTGTTGCTTTTCCTTCTTCTGTTGTTGCGACCCGTGTGGCTATGGGCTGTATGTATCCCCTCTTCCTGGAGCTGCTTATTCCTGCGTGCGTGTACCTGAAGGAAACGCTTGTTTCCCTGTATGTGCGTGCATCTGTGTGCGTGCATCTGTGTACAGTTGCACTTGGGGGAAGAGCAATGTGCACATGCATGTACTGATGCATTCTTTGCTGCTTTGTTCTTAGCCGGTCAACCCATACATATAACAATCTGGTCCGCCGCAAACATATTTCGGGAGCGTGCGTGGAGCGTGGTCAGTAAGGTGGTGGGTGCGTAGGTCGACGGATGCGGTAGATCACGAGGTTTTGAGTTAGGCCAAACACCCGCCACTGCACCGCGCCTTGCACACCCCCGAGGCGCACTAGAGCGGTACAGGCGCTGGTACGGCACGAGATTACTCAGGAGCGGGCTAGGAGAGGACTTAGGGTAATGAAGGGCCTGATAGATTGGGAGCGAGTGCGGGGGTATTGCAGCGAGCAAGTACCTGCCACACAGCAGGATTGGCGTCGTTTTTCCACATTCATTCATCACCCATAATATGGGCGTCAAGGGAATGTTGCAGTGCGTGCCACCCATGCATACGTGTCTCCGTAAAGGCGACATGGTGGGCTGGGCCCCCAACATGTGAACATGGGCATGTGCAAATGCAGGCGTGTAGGGGCGTGAACAACCTTGTGAACGAGCTGGGGCACATAAAGGCGAATCCGAGATGGTGCGTGAGTTAGCAGGGCAGGGTGGCCGGGGCAGCGTGGGGACGAGTTGGGCCAGGGGGTTACTAAGCTGTAAAAGTGGTATCTGCAGCAGACCCCGGGGGTGGGGGGGACCAGACAGCCCTAGGGACATTCCTACCAACCAATAAGTTAACAGACAAATTTCCACGAGCATCATCATTCGTGATATGTTTGCTCTCTATATAGCGAGGTAACGACTCACCGATGCAAGGGCCGCGAGCAGGGACTCCACGACTAGGCTCCCAAAGGCTACTAAGCAAGGTTACGAACTGTCCCGAAGCAAAGGGTGGTCGGGGTAAGCCGCAATGGGGACAAGAAGAGCAGATGGGCGGCAACATGCGGAAACGGAAGCAAGGAGGGTACATGCCCTGCCGGCTGACGGTGACCAACAGCGTCATTTGATTCAGGCGTCATTGGATTGTCATATGCCCTGCATATTTAGGGCGCATAGCTAATGCCGGCGAGGACTGCCCTTTGGATCCAGGTAGAGGAGCCTCTACCTGCGTATACCTGGTTAGATTGAATACTAAATGCTTTACTACTCTTAGGCCGTCAATTGCTTCCATTTGGTTCTATGTAGGTAATAGCTCCTATTTGTGCTTCGGGCAGCTCAAGGAGACGCTATGTTTTGCATGCTACTGAAGTAGGCGTGTCATGGCGCGCGCGGTTCGCCAGTTGTTCATTGTTTTTCTACTACCACTCGTTGAACGCCGAAACCTGGATGTAGTGTTGATTTACATATATAGCAGGCCAGGAACCACGAATGGCGATGTAGCGCGCGTTCGAACTGGAAGTCCGCCGAGCAATCTTGAGATGGAGCCTAAAGGCGTGTGATGTTATGCCACCCGCAAAAGCTCGTACGTATTTTTCGTCGATCTCCCGTGCCGATGTTTCTGCTTGAATCGCCCATGACTTGAAACGCATCGAGTTACTCACAGTCATATAGTTGCCTGTAAAGACACTATACAATTACAAAACAATTTGCGACGCATACAATTTCATCAACAAATACCCCCAAAAAAGCTATGCCATCTTGCTACCTCGCAAACGCCGCGAACGATAACCCGTGCGTCCCTAGCACTACCCAAGATAATTTATACGGAGTTCAACACAAAATAAATACAAATCTATATTTATGCCAAGTTTTATAGCATAGAGCATCCTGCCTTTGACATGGTAGCGCAATAGTAAGGACATGGAACGCCGAAGGGCTTTCCGTGCCAATGCGCGCGAGGGTAGTATCTATATTATCAAAGCTATAATAATTCTGTAAGTTGAGAGCTTATGCCATGATTGCCGTCGGTAGGATGCGACTCAGTTTCAGCTAAGTTTCTACCCAGCCAACGGCGCGGACTTGTTCCACTCGCAGGGCTTTCGGTACTGCCTGTCCCGTCCGCAGCGAACAGTCATTAACAAACTTAATATATACGCAGCCTACCCCAGCGGCATCGCCCAAGACGTCAGGTGAGACATCGCACTCCCCGTCGTTGTCGGTTCTTCGCTTGACTACTAAAGCCAGTTGCGTATACAGAACATCGCCAGGCTGCTGTGGATCAGCCAGGTAAACCAAGGCTTCTGGAAGATTCCTATGCTTCTGGCGATACCCCAAGCGTCGGCCGGCCGGCAGTCCTTCAAAAATCCCCACGTCCTTGCCGATTCTGCGTGGAGTTCCTTGTCGTGGCGCCGCCACACACTTTACCAGCTGGGCAAATCACCTTCTTGCTAAATTGCTCCAAAGCCGCAGACATCGTGACAGACTATATAAACAACCAGCTGCGCATCGAAAATCTTTCCAAGGGTGGACTCGTCAGCGGGTTTGGGTTTGACATCTGCATCATCAGCACGACGGCCTTCACCACAACGCAGCTCCTGCGAGTGTGCGGCACGTTCCTATCAGCCTTCCAGGCCAACAAGGCCAAAGAGCGGCTCCACAACTTCGTAAGCCCCGGAGATGTGCCCATGTCTCTCCTTACCAGGGGGTATCTGACAGCCAAGGGGGCCAGCGGGGGCGGCCCCGCATGCGGTGATGCTGCTCACGGTTACAGCTTCACGACACGGGGCTACGTGCAAGAAGGGCGCCGCTCCTGTTTGTTCGACGCCACTAGCACCCAAACGTGTGTGATACAGGAGCCCCCACCACCGCCGCCACACCCATCCCTTAGCATGCCACCGCCATCACCCTCTCCAACAATACCCAACCAGCCTCCATTACGACTCCCGAAACCACCATTGCCGCCGTCCCCGACGGCGGGACCGCCTCTATCAGTGTGCGAGGTTTGCATAAAGATTGAGGTCATGGCGCCCGCATTGGAAATGGTTGGATTTCGGTTGGAGCTGGACGAGGAGCGGTGCAGCCAGGCGGCATCCCCTATCGCCTTGGCTATGGACAACATTACTGGTGTAGCCATTAGCAGTTACAGCAGGAGTGATATCCTTCAAAAGCCATTTGAACTGAAGGCGTGTTACCCTGGCAATGTGACAGCTACAGGCACAGCGAAGCGCCCTTACATGACTGTGTGCGGTGCATATTTCCGCCGACCAAACGTCATCGGCACCACCTCTAACCGACTGGCGAACGGACTACTCCAACGCTTCGTTGACGACTTGCTGCCTGAGTGGTGTCCACCGCGATCTGCGGCCCCGTACAACTTCACCGCTTCCGTTGTGACACTGCCGCAAGATGGCCGGTTGTGCTTTCACAACATCCAGCGCCGGAGTTCATGTATCTCCCTTGGGCCCCAAACCCCTGGGCTCCCGAGCCAAAGGCGGCCTCAGCCGCCACCGCCCCCTCCACCACCTCCCCCACCTCCCCGTCCACCCCCCCCACCGCCTCGCCCGTCTCCCCGTCCTCCTCTTCCGCCACCCCCACCCCCGCCGCCCAGCCCACCACCTCCATGGCCATACCCCCCACCCCCAGCCCAAGCGACGGTCTGTATCCGTCTGATGTTCATTTCATCTTTGCCACCTAGCACCAGCGAGACCTGTGGCAGGTCCCAAGTCTCCAGTTCTACCCTCATGGAGGCGGTCAGCAGATTTGTAATCGATAGGGTGAACTCAAGAGGCCTCTCCCAGGATTGGGTACAGCGGAGTTGTGATGCAACGGATGTTTTCGTTTGTTCCCAAATCCCTGCTGGGAAGACAGAGAGCATGCTGGACGCGGTCAACAGCGCCCTGTCAGATGTATTCGACTACATATTCCCCCCCGGCCGCAGCTTCAGTTGCCTTGCTTCCGCCAGCAGCCCAAGCGCCGCAGCAAACTGGAGGCTGGCGGTTGGGGTGGGCCCCGCACCTGGCTCACCTGTTGGTAATCCCGCGTGGGGTCAGGTAGACTGCTCTGCAATACAGCTGGCTGCACGGCCACCAGCAGGGTTGCTTAATCCTAACCAACAACAGTCATCCCCCAATACCCTGTCATGCTCAAGAAGCGATGAACCAAGTAATCCTTTCCGAGTACGTGATATACAGGTCTGTATGCCTATATGTTTGTCTGTCTGTCTGTCTGTATGCCTGAATTGCACGATTTTCGTACGATTTGCCAAATGCTTCTTCAGTTTGTGAATCAGCGACAAAGCACGTCTATTGAGGGATATGTGATAAGAACAAACAAAGCAGGAAGTGGGTCACACAGCTGCAGCGGGTGCCATGCATGTGGGAGCAATAGTGAAGTTATTTCCGGCGCAATTGATGGATGGACCACATCCCGGGAATGCGAGCCCACATCCTGGGACTGCAAGTGCTCTGCGTGCGGAATAATCAATATCCCGCCGACTAGGACTAAGCGATACAAAAAGCTGAAAAGCGATACAAAGGAGTTAATATTTGCTTTGGGACACTTGCTGGCCGACAATGTGGTAAAGGAGGGAGACATGCATTCCGAAAGGCCTCGCAAGCGGCTGTGATTGTGCGTATGTGTGTGTGTGTGTATGTGTGTATGTGTGTGTGTGTGTGTGCGTGTGTGCGTTACATGGTTGGGGGTGCGTGACCCCATACCTGTAAGGCTGTGATTGTGTGCCATATCACGACGTCAGGAAAGTACCGATGGGAGGATGCATATCCCGTGATTTGCCCAGGATACTACAATGTGCTTTATTAGCATGTAGATGTATTTATTTATGTGTGTCGTACCGTACGATAGCTATGACGCCCAAGCACTGGTTAGATGTGACAGCTAGCAAAAGATTTAAAATACGAAGGGTTAGCATAAACAATGGGTCACAGTGAAAAGTCTTCTGGCATAACAAACGAAAATTTGCAGCGTGTATGTAATAGTGTGTACCATCCAGGCGATGTGTCTACAGCTGGCAGGCAGACATTTGGCTTGATGGCGTAGTAGCTGGTACACTGTACGGCACACATAACAACTATGAATATGCGCAAAGCGCTTTACCAGTAGCATCTCGGGAAGCTTTTTCAGAGGCCAGCTACTACAGATGGTGTATGGAGGCTTGGATAGTCCATCCATGCTCCACCCTACTCCAATTTTTTCTATCACCACATTTCGTCCGCTGCACATACAGGTGGAAAACAACATCGTCGTAGAGGGCAGATTGCTGTCACCTGGACTGCCCTGCTTTTCACTTGAACTAAAACCGACTGCCATCGCACCGCTTCCTCCTTCTACTAACAGTGTAAGAATATGTTAACATTGTTATGTGTATGTGTTAATCTTGGAGGTTGTAATAAACTATTAATTACACTCGCAACCATCATGTGACCACCACCCCATCTATCCATATGATCAACCATTCAAGGATCAAGAACCAGGCTTGCCAAAGCACACGTGCTGGCTACCACCTCGCCCGTTCACCCTGATATTACTGTCCAGGAACAGAGAGGCCTACCTCACTAGCAAACCATACATATGCATTAAACAGTTCAGTAATCACTACCACTTGTGTTTCAGTGCGTTTCACTGGTGTGCAGTGAAGACCTTCATACCTCATGTGCATTCGGCAGTTAACTACAATAGTTCCCCTTCCCATTTTTACAAGGAAATGGAATGTTTGTCCCTGCGAGACTCTGCAAAGTCCTCATATCTCATATCTGTCCCTTCTTTCCTCGCTCCCTTTCACAAATGCCCACCTTGGGCGCCACATGCAGGGTTGTGCCACGGCCAATACAGCCCGGCTCGGCGGCCTAATTCTTGTCGGCAATGCTGGAATGCAGTCCAGTCAAATGTATGCTGTGTTCCGCCACCGGAGCGTTGATATGCTCACACAGCAATCGTTGGTGTGGAACACTCTACCTTGGGGCGAGTTCATCTCCAATACCCTATCACTAGTTTCAGAATTCCCGGCGGATTGGACAATGCAGCAGGTTCGGCAGCTTTCTATGATGGGTCGGGCCAAAGTCTGCCTCGGGGGATTTGACCCTAGCAAACTCCAAACCTTCTGCCTGGGCAGTAGCTGCACCGTTTACCTATATTTCTCTCCGACATGCTGCATCGCCAACTCGGTTTCATTACCTTTTAATTTGTAAGTTTCAATGAGGGATAGTTGACGATCTATTAGCTGCCTGCACTTACGTGGTTGGTATCAATCGCCGCATGGAGGTATGGTGTAGCCCCGTCTAGCAGAATCTGCAGATATGCATTTCCCCAAGCGTACACGTTCATATGAACATGTACGGATGCATGCCCTCATACGTGCATAGGCATGCGTGTATCTGCTGGATGGCTACATAGAAGGATGAGTCGATAATAGGATGCCCAGTTATATGCAATGGACTCAGCGTGGTGTGCACGGTTCATATGAAGTAGGTGGGTATATTGGCGACCTGCGCAGGTGGCATGCCTTTGTCTGGAATGGACTGTTGCATACATGCATGGCTGGGTGTGCATGCCCGTCAGATAGGTACATCAGTATGTAGCACCCACTCTGCCTCTTGCTTGCTTGTACATAAACTGCATGTGCAATAAAGCTGCTGTTAAACATACAACATACGGCTCTAGTTGCAACAAATATGTTTTCAAGGTGCGGTGTAGTGTCCCCGGAAGGTTCCAGAGTCGATCTTGATGAACAGCAGAATAACGTTCCTCGACCATAAGAGGATGCATGGATGCATGGATGCCGATCCTGTTTGGAGTGGAGTTGAATAGTGGAGCGGTGTATGTGGAGTGGAATGGAGATGTCACCACCATTGATCTGGCAATTCCACTGGATGATGGTGGGCGCTGAACCCGAAAAAAATCACTGACTTATCAGAAGTCATCATGCGTGAGAAGGTTGAGGGTGTCCTGAATGTAGCAGCTGTTCATAATATGTGTAGAGTACCCCGGGCATATCATGAGATCTGCATCCACCGATTGGTACGTCTCTGAAGTTGTGGTATACCACTGTTATACGTATAACAGTATATGGCACACATATCATCTTATACAGTTAAGCACAAGGGCACTTCAACAGCACCGTGAGAGGCCTCTCCATGAAGCTGCCAGCTCCCTGCAATGGGAATCGAGACCGCTTCTATCCATGTCCCTATAGCTGCCCGCCTGCTGCAGCAGCAGTCAAGGCAGCCGGGTGAAGCTGACGCCACAGACCTTGAATAAAAAGGGGAATGCGGAGGTGGAGCTGCGCGTCAGATATCGCGCCTGTAACTGTACTAGTAGGCTTTATGAGCGAAACGAAAGAAAACCTACGTTTTCTGTGTATTTGCCGAGCGTGTACTCGGTTGAATGTCCTTGGTGTGTACGGCTGGACCGTACAGGGCTAGAATAAGTCGCAGGAGTGCGACGGAAAGAGCTAATAAGAACAGATACTACACATGATCTGAGCCAAAAGGCCGAGAAAGGTATGAAAACAACAGGGATGGGCCACGGACCAGTGCACGGCAAAATACTCCTTTTGCCAAGCTTGCGCTCGATGGTGGGGGGTGGTATTTAGAAGCACATTGCTCCCCCTGAAAGCACCTGCTGTTCCTGGTCCGCAATGTCGGGGCCAAGCAGTAGCTTATTACAGCAGGCCCGATTAAGCTAATGCACAGAGCTGGTGATTCGGCCGCTGCTTCAATCCGTCAGAACAGGGTAGCGGAGTCCAGTCAGTAGGGACCCATCCATGTCCCTGCCCGCCTGCTGCAGCAGCAGTCAAGGCAGCCGGGTGAAGCTGACGCCACAGACCTTGAATAAAAAGGGGAATGCGGAGGTGGAGCTGACGCATGTACGTGCGACATGCGACATGTACCGGCGAGAACTGGCAAAATCAGATTGACGAGACAACAGGGCGGTAATATGTAGTACGTTAAAAACCAAACGGGAGAGAATTCGCGCATACAAAAAGCTGGCTCCAAACAAAGAGCACGCACATCCGGGCGGAGCGATCATGTGGCTGGCAGTCAGCAGCGCTGTTCTGTCTTTCCTACTGCTGCAGTAAAGGCAGGCCATCTTTCCTACAGGGTTTGTTGCTGCTGCTGACCGCCAGCCAACCTTGACCGTGTAACCCTCGCTAAGCATGCAGGACATGTGCCCAAGTCAGTGTGCTTTACAGTGGTCAACACGTGATGCAATTATCGTACACACGCTAACCGTCCGCTTTTCGCTCACCTGTACGAGCATACGATACGTGTCATAGAATCCTCTCGACGGGTATGTCGCAACGTCGCGCCAAGCCGCCAAGCCGCCGAGCCGCCGAGCCGCGTAGCCGTTTACGGGGGATTGCCTCCTCGCCGCCTCCTCGCCACGAGCCGGTCATAAGGATGATGCGACGGGGGAAGGGCAGAAGCAGTAGCGGGCGGAAGGGTGAGGGGGAAGCATTTAGTAAGCTATGGGAAAACTAGTGTTAAAGTTACAGATGCATGACACACGAAGTACGACAGTCACTCTTTGGTTGGCGCCTAGCAGTGCTGACTCGGCTTTGCTGACTTCCCTAAGATGCTTTGCTGCGCTGTGCTGCTGCTGCTGGCGTGCTGCTGCTACTGCTGCTGCTGCTGCGACTTGCCAGTCGCCAACCAAACATGATTGCACGAGGATGCCCGACAGGACATTACAGTTACGCACTTCACACGAAGGTACGACAAGCGGCACGTCCCCCTGCGATATTGTCCCCCTGCGATCCCTAAAACCCACCGTACATGTATCTGGGCGAAGCTGAAGTCATCGCCCTTTACTCGCCAACGATGCCCATCAAGAAGATGATATCACCTTGTCATGTCCTCCATCGCCGGGAATGCATCGCACTCAGGCATGTCCGAGCCCAAGGCGCGCCCCGCAATGGGGGAAGGGAGGGGATTAGGCAGGGCGCAAGCAGGACGGTCAGACCAATAACCTGACAATATGCAATATGGCAAATGTATTACAGCAGGCATCACACACACACAACACACACAATGCGCAACGACACACGAGATGCGGGCTGGGCTGGGGCTTTGAGCTGTTTGCTGCTTGGTTGGGCGATGTGATGCAAATACACGCGTGCACACGACCGCTGGGGAGCAGTTGCTTGAATATTGCGCCACAAGGCAAAAATACCTGTTTGCGCAGATTCGCAGAACCACGCGTGATTCGTAACATGCGGCAGCTGCAAGTTGAGCTGACATGTCGACAACGCCAACGTCCTGTACTAAGCCAAGAGAAGTGATCTGATTGCGCGCCTGCAGTTCAGAGATGTTAAGATTGCATACTTGTTAGGATGGCTGCTGGTGTGCTCATAGACCGACGTGTGCAACTGGCCATCCGATTGACCAGACATCAGAGCATGGCTTCGCATCAGATCCGCAGCTGATTGGGTCCAGTCGCTAGTCACATTTTCGTATAGGACTCCACGAGGGTGTCACGCCAGCTGTAATTCCAAGAAGCTCGCCTGACGGTAAAGCATGTCTCATTCATTTTCATCGGAACGCTCCCGGCAAAAGGCATACGTGCTTGACGTATAAAACTCGCAGCATTAAGGCTGATAATTGCCTATCAATAGCTCACCTGCGGCAAGTGTAAACATGCCGAAAACCACCAGTGAACGCATTTGGCAACAATAGTTGGCACAGCGCATCAAAGTAATTACAGAATTATCAGGCCTATGTGAATTTAACAAAATAGGTTTGCACTGCGTCCGAAATGCTTACGTACGCTGAAATGTGTACGAGGCATGGGACTCACTGCACCGCAGCATACAGTCGCACACACACAACTGAGAAGAAATAATTTTCGCCTCTTGATATATGTGTACCAAAGCTCACAGGGGCCTCGGATTGTTGTTGGGTGACGAACACAATTTCCTTGCATCGGCCACATCTGCACCGCAGCTGAAAGGAACTGGCTCCAGTTGGCGACTGGAGGAAGCATTAGTTCCTAACTTGCCCGATCTGCAGAGCCCGACATCAATCGCTGACTGAGAGACAAGGAAGAGAAGAATACTAAGCTTACAAATAATGGTGTAGGAATGCCTTAAATAGTCTGGCAAAGCCTTGCACGACACAGAGTCGTACCGATCAAAGCCAAACCATACGTACTCGGTAACGAACACAAATCCCTTAAATTTCCCCGGTCTTTCAAAGCTGCAACGTCCTCGTTGCCATTACAGTCGCAAGCACAAGGTTCCCTTGCATACTGCAACTCACTGCTTTCATCACAACAGTGGGCATGCTCAGGCAACTGCACCCCCATACAATGCCATGGCATGACTACATATGGGACTCAGACAGCTAACCACATAAGGCAAGGTGTTCCAGCTAAGGAAAACCCAAAGACAACATAGCTTGGCTCAAATGAAACGCATGACTGTGTGAGCTCCGGAATGATTGCATCTACTGCACACATAAGCACACATGAGAACTCGAAGGAAAGTAAGAACGGAGAATCTCGTGAAGGTGATGGTAGGTCTCTTTTGAGCACTCGGCTGGGCGCCCCGGTCGACTTGAGCCAAAACACAGGGGCACACCGACACAAGGGCCAACATCGAGCTCCATGGCATGATGAGATGTGATGGCCTTTAGCGTGACGTTGGATCGACGACGAAGATTACGAAAACGATTGAACTCGTGAAACGTGGGGTACGCAAGCATCCAGTCGCTGTCAACCCGGTGCACTCCTGCCGTGGAGGCTGCTGCAACACGAGCACGCATACAACCTACACGACGGGCAGGCATACTGGCGACCAGGGCACGGCGATTAACGTTGAACGAACGAGGTAGACGGCGGGTTGTCAGCTTCCGCAAACGATAGAAGCAAACGGATATGGCCCATTCTTGAGCCCGAAACGAACGTGAAACTGCAGTCCAGCGCAAGGTGTCCAAACTTGGCCGACTGTCGAACGACGGTAAGGCGTTCTGATCCAACTGAAAAGGAAAGAGCTCCGATTTCAAGTTGTGACACCAACTGTTACACTCGGAGTGGAGCGACTTGAGCCGACTTGCACACAACAGTAGCGTACAAAGCTGAATGTCAGTACCGAAGAGCGATGAACCCGGTAGTTACGAGATGCGGGTGAACGACCGGCAACACGGGCCGGCAAACAAACGATCGTGCGGTGGCGCGAAGTGCAAAAGCAGTGACGATGGGAAAACAGCTCCAATACGGACCGAGGCAGGATTGAACCTGGTCTCGATACCATATGAAAGGAACTGGCTCCAGTTGGCGACTGGAGGAAGCATTAGTTCCTAACTTGCCCGATCTGCAGAGCCCGACATCAATCGCTGACTGAGAGACAAGGAAGAGAAGAATACTAAGCTTACAAATAATGGTGTAGGAATGCCTTAAATAGTCTGGCAAAGCCTTGCACGACACAGAGTCGTACCGATCAAAGCCAAACCATACGTACTCGGTAACGAATACAAATCCCTTACAGCAGCGATATGCATCAAAACTAAGTATATACAATAAATTGTTCTGAACAATAAAGGCATGATAAACCTTAGGATTCCCACAACCTGACAATCAACGCAGCTTCTGGCAATGAATTACCTTTCCTTACATTCATCACCTCGAACACCAAAGCAACAATGTTGCATCCATCTTGTCCCTGGGAAAATGGATGGTTCGCTCACGGTCCGTCCATGGACCGAAAAGTAGGCAAGCCATGCTATCGTGCTGAATAATTAGAAAGCAATACCAGATATAGAACAAGCTGTCAAAACACATGGCAGAAAAGTAAGTACAACTTTTGCACGGTCGACCTCTTTTCGCTTGCATATCGGGACGCGGGCCATGCTTCTTTCTTGCGTCCGGGGCCTACGCAACCCCAAGAGAACCTCCAGCCACCAGGCCCTTTCGATCACCGTGGGGGTCGAACCCAGAGCTGCACCACAAGGGGCGTACCGAAAAGCAGATGTGTGCATGAGTAGTTTTCGGCCACGTCACGAGGGTCGTTGAGAAAAACCTAATGCCAAAGCCAAGCTGCCGCGCATGTCCCGCTAGTCCACCTACGGTCACATGAACTCGACATACAAGCAGACATGAAGAACTAGAGGGGTTCCCCTTTAGTTCCCCTTTGCCTCCTCGCCGCCTCGCCACCTTGCCGCCAAGCCGTCTAGCCGCCGTACCGCCTACCCTCCTCGTCGCCACGCCTGAGAATGGGAATGCCTCCTCGCCGCCTCCTCGCCACGAGCCGGTCATAAGGATGATGCGACAGGGGAAGGGCAGAAGCAGTAGCGGGCGGATGGGTGAGGGGGAAACATTTAGTAAGCTATGGGAAAACTAGTGTTAAAGTTACAGATGCATGACACACGAAGTACGACAGTCACTCTTTGGTTGGCGCCTAGCAGTGCTGACTCGGCTTTGCTGACTTTAATAGTATGGTTTGCTGCGCTGTGCTGCTGCTGACACTTGCCGGCCGCCAACCAAACATGATTGTCGTACATCGTGGCTAGCATTCCTACATCACGTCATCCTCCATCCCCCCAATAACAACCCAGCTACTCACGCTGCGCTCGCCAGAGCTTGCGACTCCATCAGCGATGCCCAGCAGTAGTAGGGACGCACGGCGCCAGCAAAGCACCGCGCCAGCAGCGATGTCTAGCCTCAAATGCCGACGCACAGCCGTGCGAGCCGCCAGTATGCACCGAAGCACAGGGGACAGGCGGAAGGGTGACACAGAATATGTTGTACGTTGTAAAACGGGAGAGAATTCGCGCATACAAAAAGCTGGCTCCAAACAAAGAGCACGCACATCCGGGCGGAGCGATCATGTGGCTGGCAGTCAGCAGCGCTGTTCTGTCTTTCTTACTGCTGGAAATATTGTCCATCTACGTTTCTACGTTTACCTTGCGAATACGGCTGTCGGGTTTCAATTGCCCATGCTTAGCTTTCCGTATAGGTGTTACTCTTTTTGCACTATCATGACCATCAGCCTTGTAAAGGTTCCGCCTGTACATCGATACCTAATCAGCTTGCAACCACCTCCAATACGTTTCTGCATGAGCGCATTCTGGCGTTGGTTACCATATTCGTCATATGGTATAACTTTATAACACTGTTGCTTGCGCGGCGACGGCTGTTAGGTTCCAACTTCCCAGCCTGCATGTTCTACTTCCATGATTTCGCAAGCACACCTCGTCAATCACGCCCGCATTCATAAAAAGATGTAGGTCTCGGCTTGATGATTGATGCAAAAAGCAGGTTTGTGTTAAATCTGTTTTTGCGAATCCTCGCACAACGAGGTGGTTGGCTCCTCATGGCTGGTTTTCTAGTGCACCGAAGCAAGGGGCAGTTATAGCTGTAATACTGCGGCCATGTAACCTTCCTCTCCCCCCTCACGCAAACCCCTCCCCCGCTGGCGGCGGTGCCAGCCAGTTCCACGCACATCCTAATCCAGGAAACTATTTATCCTAAATTTATGAGTAATTTTCCTATATCATTAATCGTTTTACATAGCACGTTCTTTTTATGGTTTCTAATTCAGTCAAAAAATGATATCCTTTGAAATGATGAAATGAAGGTAAATTACTTGAATCTTCAGACATAGTTCATACTGTCCTGACCGTAACCCCTGCTCCGTCGTTCCCCATCCCCAATACTCTCCTCCACCGTGTATTCTACCTGCCTCCGCCGTGGGTAAGCAATCGAGCGCACGGAGGACATTGCGGCGGCGCTCAGTTGCTGCTGGCGCGTCCGCGAAATACATGTACATAAATGTATCTTGTAAACACGTACGCCGATCCTATCCACGCACGTCCGTCTCACTCTCCCACGCAGCTCATCTGTCAGAAAGCAGAAGGAGGGCTGCACTCTACCGAAATCTAAACCGCCAGATAACATACATGGCGTGGCACAATCTATTCATTTCATTCAACCAACTATCCGTTTTACCCACTCACTCATCCAGCCAGCCATCCCATGACCTTCCATCCATCCATCAACCATCCTACTACAAGAGCAACGTGTCAGCCCACAGCCCTCTCATCGTGCAGAAAAGGATCCAAGGATATGCAGGTGCATTTTTGCGTGTACATGTGCATGAATTTGGGTACCTAAGAAGGCTCTGTTTGTTTTGGCCCACTGGCCCATATGGCATGTCGGCTTACCGTCCGCATGTCGTGCCCACCTGGCATGTCGTCCCCTCACTTATTCGGTCTTCCTTCAAATCTCCTCTATTCCCTTCAGACCGTTCACGGCACGGCAGATAACCCATCCAGCCCAATCATGAGAAAAGAAACCACAGCTCTTGGCTCCACCTTCATGTCATTTCCTTATGTGCTCGCTCGCACTCATCCGCGTACGGCACAGTACGGCATGTGCACGAGTAGCCTAAAACGTGGCCGTTATGAGCACGTCACACTCGTACTTATACACACGCTCGCATACATAGACACATACAGACGCGATGTCATAAAGCTACGGGACAACACGAGGCGTACACCGGACACCTGTGTACGCCAGGGTCGCATACACCCAAGAGAGAGATTTGCCCGGTTGGAAAGGAGTAGAAAGGTTGGCTCGAGCCGGGGTTGCGGACCATTCCGGGCCCAGTTCTCAGCCAAAGGCGTCAGTTCAAGTAAAGGTATCAAGGTCATGGGGCCAAAGTCGCGAGGGAAATCAATGGTCATGGGGCCGCCACTGTACGCACATATCGCCATGCACAGCGCCATATCCCCCCTTCAATGCTTCGATTCCCGCATCCAGCCGTCAAAACATTTGCGCATCGCTCCCCTCTTTCAACGTATCACAAACACACCGTCTGCGTCACCATGCCCCATGCTTGCGGCTGCGTGCTACTCCGCGGGCGCTGCCGTCGCGGCGGCTGCTGCTGGTGGCCTAGCACCTGCCATTTCCTTGCACATGTAATGCCGTCCTCATTCGTCTGGATGGATGGATTCGTAACTCACATACAAAAGCACAAACAAAACATGCATGCTACCCATCCCACACACGTCGCGCGACTAATACCTGCAGCCATCTGCACTGCTCTTCAAAAGAATTCCGACTTTCACCTCCAAATAATCTTACCCCTAACCCTTGTGTTCAGACATGCACAAAATCACCTCCTGTGTAAAATTCCGCCATCACCTTGTTTGGACCTTCAACTACAACCTTCTTGCTACTGCTGCCATGACACCCATATCGCAACCGCTACTAAAACCGCTACTAAAACCTCAGCATTATCATTAAAACATCGACCTGTTACGCGTTGTCCATGAGGTCCAGCAAGTCCTCCCCGTCGCCTCCCTTGCCCTTTCCCGGCCCGCCTTCCGACACCTTCATGCTCTTCATCACGTCACTGAGGTGCTGGTCGTTCTTGGCGGCAGTGAACGCGATGTTGGACACCTTCCGTGTAGCCACGACAGGAGACGGATCTGCAGTTGCACGTGCGGTTGTGTGTTGTGTGGTATGGGGCAGGGAGAGAGGAGAAGGCAAAGAGGGGAATTACATGCAAGAAGCTAAGGTGTATACGGGTCGACTGCCGGTGTCTGTGTAGGGTGGGTGGGTGGGTGGTCGGGTGAGTTGGCCGTCGGAGGCCAAGGCGATGAGAGAATGAGAGTTTCTCACTGTAGGCAGGTTAGAAGACGGGTTGCATGGGGTTCACGTTCCTGACAGCCCCCCATGTGAACCCCCCCAGCCCCGGGGCCGCACTCACCAGCTCCCACTAGGTCGTCATCCCCGAACAGGTTGAGCTTGAAGTTGTCCACGGCGGGTGCCTTGACCTTGAGCAAGGCGGACAGGTACGCGAACTCCGAGGCCCCCCCCAGGCTGCCGCGGAGCCCCCGGTCCGAATACTCCTCACCAGCCATCTGCGGTCAGAAACCACAACACAGCGATATATGCATACATACATACATCTGAAGTCGGATGGGGTGAACGGATTAGGGTGCCCCTCTAGCAGGGGAAAGCAGGGAACTGCCTCGGGAAAGGGGACCGCTGGTAAAGCTATACCACCCTGTAACAACATACATACATACATACATACGTACATATATATATACATACATACAAATGTGTATATGAACGTCCAAACAAACAACATACATGAGGACGGACGCTATCGTCAATAAACCTAGGTACCGACATTTACGCATGTGTACCTGAACGATATCGCACTTAACGCGCACAGGAGGTTGGGATGCAACGACAGGTGACATGTGCGACCCACACAACGCAAATTGGGTGCTCCATCGGAAGCTGTGTGACCCGTCCCCTTTGCCAGCCTCGTTTGGATATACATACTACCATCACCACTGCCATCCCTGGTTCTGACGAGGTGGTCATTGACAACCTTAACGGACACACGCAAATGCACGATACGCCCTCACGTACCGCTCGCCCAACTCCACACAAAAAACATATGTAAACAAATGCATTTGGCTGCCTTGCCATTTTTTCTTGATTATTTAATTTTGTTGCGTTGCAGTTGTCCCGTCGTCGACATCACACACAAAAACTTCTTCCTGGCAGGGTGTGTAGTGTGGGGCCAGTTTGTGTGGTGTATGACACGCCCCGCCCGGGCCCCACCGCCCGGGGGATTAGTGTGTCTCCCCTTTTTTTCCCTTCCCCGTTATCATCTAGGAGGTCCTCCGCAACACCCCTACAGCCATACACCCCTCTTCCCTCACCGTCTTGTAGTCCTCCTCGGGCTTGAGGGGCCCCGTGATCGCATCCCCCTTCCGAGGGGGGGGTACCACCTTGGGCCGCTCCTTGTTGTACAGGTTCGTACCCAGAGGGGCGGGGTGTACGAAAAACTCCTGACGGTCAATCTGTCCATGCAGGCATGCAGGCGTATGCGGGTTAAGGGGCGGTTAAGAGTGTGTGTGTGTGTGGGGGGGGGGGGGGTGTTATTAAATGCAAGGAGCAAGGGGTCGCGATCGCAGGAAGAGGGTGGATTTGGATGGGTCAGATTGGTACATACACATACATACACACATATATATATCGAATTGAATTTGAATTGTTATATAGGTCAGACATTACTGGTCAGACATTACTGGTAGGTCAGACAATACTGGTAACGCACACACCAATGCCCCCGGAGGTTCCGGGATCGAGACCTGTCAAGGTCGAAAATCTTTCCGATGGTGGAAGGTAAAAGTGCCCCTAGTCGATGGACGGTGGTGACCTGGGATAAAGGTGACTCGCGAGCCGACCAGGAATGGCAGATTCCGTTGGATGCCGGTGGTGGGTGCTGAACCTGAGTGATCCACTGAGAAGTCGGCTAGGGTGACTAGGCAGGGTTTCGCCGGGTAGCGGCCGCAGGGTGAAGATATGCCCTCCTGTCCCACAAATCATACATATATATGCGCCAAAAAGCGAAGGATTTAACTGCCGACTTCCAAACTACGCTAGATATATGTGTGCCCCAGTTAGACATGACAAGTGAAACCAACCCGAGGGCCGGGCGGCAGGTGGGGGACATGAGAAGATATCGTGGATGAGCACTGCACGACACCGCATTGTACTGCACTCACTGGTCTGGTCTGGAGAGGGGCTGCGGGGGGCCGGAGGAGAAGCACAAAACCCCTCTCCTTCCTTACCCTCCTTTTGTAGCAACACACCTCCGCCCTTGTACCCCACCCCTCCTCTTACCCCTATCCGCCTCCCTTTCCCCTTTTCCTCTTCCCAGCCTTAAGTCGGAGGAGCCCTCGTGTTAACCCGGCCCCCCGCCGCACACACACACACACACACACATATCCTACAACCCCTAGCCCCGTAGTCCCCCACCCCCTCACCGCGGCGCTCTTGACTTTGAACTTTTCCTGTTCCTCCAGCGCTCCCGACATGGAGTACGTGGTGACCGTGCCCACATAGTCCTTGTGCGGGGAGGGCAGGATGATGCGGCCCATGGAGGATTGAATACCCTCCTGCGGGGGGGGGGTGTAAAGGGAGGGAGGGGACACGAGGGGGGGGAGGTGGCGCGACAGAGGGGAGGTGTCAATTATAGCCCCCTAACGAAACAACTGCCGTCGCCCAAGGCACCAACTCGTACGGGAAGGAGAGGAATGTGCGGGGAATGTGAGGAGCGAAACGCGGGGGGGGGGAGCTGTTAGAAGACGGAGGAAGGTAGTTAAGGAGCGTTTGGGAGGCGGAGGAAGGTAGTTAAGGAGCGTTTGGGAGGCGGCGTCTCTGCTGGCTACTGGTGTCGGCTAGGATTGGTAGTCATGGTAATGATGGTCGTGTCATGTGGACGATGTAGACGCTATAACAAAACATTGGACGCCAGGGATACCTCCAGGCCTGCCTACAATGGTCCTCCACGCTACCTAGGCCGCCAATCTTCCCCAACACCCCAATACCCCTTACCCAGCCCCTCCTCTCCTCCTCCTCGCTCTCCTTTACCCCCCCCCCCTTAACTCGTAACCCGTAACTTTACCGCCCCCCGACGGCCCCGGTCCTAACCCCAACCACCTTACCTGCAAGAATAGCGACACCTTGACTCTCTTATCTTGGAAGAACCTGAGCAGGGTATGCCTGAGGAGGTGCAGCTGCCCCGCAGGCAGCCCCTCGAACGTCTTGACCGCCAGCGCCTCCACCGTGCCGATGAGGGCTGCGGAAGATTGGTCGGGCAGGGACTCGATGATGGTGCGCATGGTGGCCAGGTGCAGGAGGGTCACCTGCGGTTGAGGGAAAAGCATACCACGCGTGCGTCTGGTTGGGGAAGAAAAGGATAGATTGGTTGCGTTGAGAAAAAGGGGATAGAGCGGAAAAGACGATCAATCGAGGAAAACGCGTACGGGCGTTGCTTTGAAATCATTCTTCGGGGGTTTAAGACGATTGTAACCCGGTTGTGTTTGCGTCGAATGCGACCCAGATTTCCTAGGCCCACACGCAAATTGTAATGTAGCTCTCTGTGCCTACTCTCACACGCACATGCACACACACGCAATCCTTCACTGTTATCCCCCAATCCCCACGACTCATATCATGTTGATATCTTTTTCCTTTGGTCTACCGCTTACACGGTTCTCTTTTGCTAAAGCTCATTATGCGCAGGTAGCCCTCCTCTTTATTGTTTATTTTAGCGTAATAGTATTGTTGTGTAAACAGCGCCTGGATTTAATTCCTTTAAATTTAAAGCTTACTGCGGGCACAAAGTACTTGACGCTTGCGTAATATGCTTAAAAGCTTATTTTAGGCGAGAAATGGAATAGCGTGATAGGAGATTATTACGCTAGACAATACAATAAAAAGAGCGGAGCTGTTCGGTATCGTGCACAACCCCTAGTTTACTAAACAATGCAAACAATAAAAAGCGCGGGCTGCGCTGGCATCCCCTTCTTCCTCTTACTGTAGTAGCTGGCCGCCCAAAAGGATGAGATGCTGGGAGCGAGCTTTAGCGCACGTACGTATTGGATGATGGCGTGTGCCGTACTGTACGGCAACTATCACACCTTCCATGTCGTACTCCAGAAGGGTCTCCCTTTCCCAACCCCGCCAACCCGCCACCAATCCACTTTACCTCACCCCACCTCACCACAAGTTCGGGTATCTTTTGCAGGCAATCTGGGTCCGCAGTTGCTTTCCATTACAACACCCAATTGGTCGTGATTTACCTCCCACCCCACCCACCCCGGCCCCTTACCACGTACTGCCGGCACCCACCCCCGTTCCTACACTCCTGTCTCTTGACTCCCAAGACGTCCAGGGTGTTTTGTTTGGTGTGGTAAGCCTTTTCGGGTATTTTTATAATAAAATTCCATTAATATGTTAATTTAGGTTTGCATGAAATTGGTGGTTCAAAGGAGTGGCAGCTAGCTTTCACAATATGCAAATGAATTTCCCCCTGCTACAATGCCTACGGAGACTCCGTAGTGCATCACCATTCCTTCGTCCCATCTTCCTCCTTCCGGGGCCCAAATTTACCTCCAACATCTGGTCAAGATTGGTGGAGCAGAGGAGCTGGTACTTGAACCCCATCAGCATCAGGTCAAACAATTTGTCCATGCTGCAAAGGTTTAGGAGGAGTTGGGGAAGATATGGGAGTTAGAAAACGTGGGTGGGGATTTATATGCAAGAATCAGAGCAAAATGCACGGGCTGAGGACGGGCTGGGGTGTACATCGTGTTTGGGAGGGGAGGGGGGCAGTTTGGTGCAGATCGGGGCTGCGACATATGCCTGTGTGAGTGTGCGCCTGTATGAATGTGTATGTGGGTTATAGCATGGTGAGCATTGCCTACATCAAAAAGACTCAGACCGAGCAATATGCAGGTACCTGCAGTGCATGGCATGGTTGCGTGCGCAAGATGTGGGCTACGGAGGCTATGGAAAATTCCTTTCTAGGGCACGACGGTGCTGCATGTATGTGTGCATATACGTATTTATATGTGCATATGTGCGCACATGCAGCACATTCCTCCGCAAAGCGCAGACACACATGCATAAACGTCTGTACTTTTAATTAAACTACACACCTGGGTGCGTCTATCTGTCTGTCTGTCTGTTTGTATGTATGTATGTGTGTTTCGCAGAAGAGGTGTAACAAGGGAGAGCCCTAAGGTGTGTGCGGAATGACTACATGGCGCACTGCAGATGTCCCAGCAGTCAAACAGCCAAGAGTGAAAGATCCGTGAAGGCCGTAACACCGAAAACAAGGGTTAGGTCAGGGGTGAGACATAACATAGTAATAGGCGGATTTAAAAAACGTAAGATAGGTAGTAAGGAGAGACACAGAGGGGGGAATTCAGACAGAGCGGTGGGGGGCCGTACAAGGCGGACGGAGGAGGGGTTGGGATCGCGGGGAGATGGATGGCCAGATTCCAGGGCCAAAAAAGGAAGGGGCCACGATGCAGAGCGCATGAAGTTTGCAGACGGAACGCCTGTGCTGCAGAGAAGCGGTCTGGGGAACTAGTCATACCGCTACCGGTAAAAAGCTTCGTCCCGAGCTACAAACCATACAAGTAATGGCCTTAACATAGGGCGTCGACTGTGATATGCTGTGATATGCTTTGGCTATGAGGGAAGCGTCTGTTCGTGACCGGCAAGGCGGCCGAATGGAAGTTGAATTGCCGGTAACTTGACCACATACAGCGGGCTACCACTCCACAGGAACTCCCATTTATAATAATATACAACAGCTAAAAATTAACTGTTCTGTTTCACTAAGCGGGTAGGATGTATGTGGCGGAAGGCCATGGGGCGTACCTGGACTCGCTCAGCCTCATGATGCTTGAATGGGCAAGGCGATCAAAGATTTTCCTTGTTTGGGATACCGTGTACATGTCTTGAGGTGCAAAGAGCTTGTCTATGTATTCCGAGTCGAACATGGTCTTGATCACATCGTTAAGAACCTTGCAGCTCTTATCCGTTGGGATGTTTTGAGCTTTCAAGCGCTGTTCAAGAATGTAGACCATTTCGCAGCCTAGATTAACAACCAGCAAAGGCATAGCGAGCTGCGACATTTTGACAATCAACCAGCAAAATAAGGGTGCCGGAAAGTAGTAGTTGCAAGCGTGAATGCAGATGTGGAGGACGGTAAAGATAGAGTCTTGAACTTGGTATTTTATGGTTCTATGCCGTACCACGAAGTAACGGTACGTTAGAGCTCAGAAGCCCTCCTTCATATGCACGCTAAACCGACTTCTCCATCCTATACCATATATTCTTGATATAAGGGTTTCTAATATTTCGAAGCTTAACTCACAATTTCCTTCACGAACGCCTTTGGCAACGCCGGTGTTCATCCAAACTTGCCGCGGAAGGCAAGTGTACTGGCTGCAGAGCTTAGTCAGATTTCTTGTTCCAATATCTGCCACAACTGCAGAGTCGTTTGGCACATTCGTGTGCCCTTAGAAGCATCTTGCTCCATCGGCGCAAATTATATACAGCCCATAACGCCACGTATCTTCTCCTTGCAGACCGCGCTCCTTCCTTGCCACCACCAGCTTCAGACCAAGCCTCTGATTAACGCGGCGTCCGCGTTTTCCATCGTCCACAGCGTCAAGCCAGCTCCGTGGAAGTGCTTTTGCAGTCGAATCGCACATAGAAGTTTTGGGTCTAAGTTACTCCTGGGCGATCTGGTCCTCCTTGGCGCCTTGCTCGGCGCTTTTCAACGCCTGTCGTCAGCAGCTGACTGAGACAAGCAGTTACCTTGGATTCGGTTACAAACTCCTCCGCCGTCCTCTTTCCTCTCATTTAAACTTACATTTCCTGAGAATTACAAACATGAGCCGCACCCGGGGCATGGATTGCGTGGGGATGGACACTTTTCGCGGAACTACGGGGCTAAACGTCACCTCCTCCAGCCGCATCTCCTTATACAGCAAGAACGGCGGCAACGTGACACTTGATAACACAGAGGTGGTGCTACGTGTGGAAAGCCCCATCAGCGGCGACCTCCTCGTGGCGCCTGTTGCCAAAAACAAGTACGATACGCGGCACAACACGGCCATGGGCTTGCTCATGTCGCAGGGAGAAGGCAGGGGGGTTACACACTCTTCCCAAACAACAATAAGACCAGGAACGCGGCCTGGGTCTGGTGGAAAGCTGGAAATTCTTTGGTTGTGACAAGGACGGGTATTATTCGAGCTAGCTCGCACTACCTGGGCTCCTACTGTCGCGATTTTTAGTGGCCTTACCTGGAGGTAGGCAATACGTGTTGGAGAGCACTACACAGCACAGGACGGCCCGGACAAAACCCAAAAGCGGCACAAGCGGACAAAAAGTGGGGAGAATGGGAGGGGGGCTCGAGGGAAGCGAAAGGCCTTTCCCCCGAAAGGGTACCAGGAAACACTCTGCACCCAGATACGCCAAACGCCGTCTGAGTTTGGGCCAACATTGGTTCGTTAGATCCTGGGTTTGCTGCAGCAATCTAACGCAAAAACACAAGAACCCGACCGTGCCTGACTCAGCTTGTCTATCTACGCTATTTTCATACCCCTTTGGCTTTCATGGCCCCCGACCCCGGCCCCCACCCTCGATCATCCCCTCAGGTCGGGAGTACGTGACCCCGTCTCCGGGACGCCCATGCGCTACGAGGGTGACTCGGCCATTCTGCAGACGCCAGGAGCAGCCAACCAGTTCATGCGCACACGCAAATTTTACATTGACAAGGACATTGATGTCACGATCCAGACGCTACGGAATACGACCAAGGTATGGATGAGGCTCCTGCGAGGGCAAAAGTCCCCGAAATGGCCACCCACGGCCACCCACGGGGTGTTGTTGGTCCTGAGGTTCGGTACCTGGCCAGTGCCGCCATATTGCGTCCCACTCATCGCCTCTCTTTCTAAACTCCTCCGGTTTTCGTTTCCCGCCATGCCCAGCATCCGCACACTCTCTTCCTCCCTCCCCTGTCGTCTGGGGTCGGTTTCGCACCAGGGGGATTAAAGGAAGGAACCTCAAGGCGTTCGCCGTTCTTTTCATTTCGCCATAACCAAACGTTGTTTGCTCCCAAGCAATGATTTCAGGTTGAAGCATATACCAGCGTATTGACAAACTCCCAACTGTCAACCACCCCAACGACTCTCGGTAGGTCAACCGAAACACCAACGAGAAGGTGGGCACTGCGGGGACGCCCACTGGCATGGACCCGGCGTTGCTCTTTTACCAAGGCCGGCGGTAAACATCTTATATACAAGCCAGCAAGGCGCACGTATGAAGAGGCGCACGGCGATAATGGTAGCGAAGCTGCAAGGTCGCTATTGCAAGTGGCCCAGGTGTGAAGGTGCGGGCGGTGGGCGGGAAGCAAGCACGTCTATGGTGATGCAGGTGATGCGCGATGGAAGCAAATAAACTGTTTTGGAAAGGCAAAAAAGCAGTGAAGGGCCATGAGCCCCTTGGGTATTGGGACCTCATGAAACTGACTTACCTGGGTAAAGTGTGAAATGTGAAATGCAATGGACGTGGCGTCGGGGAATGGGGCTTGTGGATTACTGGGCTGGGAAAATCTGGACCGCGGTGCTGCCCGACCACATGCTATCGCTTGAAAGGGGCTGCGCGGTGATGAGGATGGGATCGTGTTGCAGTTTGACTGTGACGCTTATTATGGGGGTTGTTGATGGATGAGTTCAGGAGATTAAGGGTGGTCGCCGCAGAGAGTGAAAGCGGCGGCGGTGCAGGACAGCAGCCGGTCTAGCCGATCAGCAATGGATCGGATATGCAGCAGTGCATGCTTGCTAAACAGGAGCAGGGGGAGCAGAAGGGGGCGACGTAAGCCTGTCCCATGCGCGGCAGGAGAGGCGCGGGAAGTGCGGGCATTGACAAGTGGGAAAAGTGCAAGCTGCAGGAGCAGGGGAAGCAGTAGCAGCAGCAGTAGCAGTAGCAGCAGCTGATGTGGGAATCCTGACCGGCCTCGGGATGTGTTGGGAACCCCAACAGGGTGGCGGATGAACTCGGATGGCTCTTGACATGCAACTGACCCATAGGTCATCGGTACATACGGCAGAGTTCATCTTTACGAGCTGAATCGTGGGCAGGCGGTAACAGCAAGCAGGGTGTACTTGTTACAATAAAGCCTGAACGGCTCGTGTGCAAGCAGGGGCCATCTGAGTGGCCAGATCTGGGTGGCCAACGGTACAGGCAGCCGGCGTCTGGGCCGCGCGTCACTGGCACCGGGGAACTCTACAAGAGGCGAGTCGCTCACGTTAGGGCGCCATGAGTTTAACTGACCCATGGGTCAATTAGCACCGTGCCATGAAGGCATCAGCGTTGCCGGCATTTTGCTGACTTGCTAAATTCACAATTGAGGACGATGCCGGCGCGTACCCTAACCACTGTCCCGTGGGTCGTTGGGTCGCGGTGGTCTCCTTAACCAAACATGCAAGCTACCTTGGTGGATGGTCCTTGGATGGTCCTTGGATGGTCCTTAGATGGTCTTTGAACGTTTTGGGTCATGTTTTATTGTGGACGCCGTTATTATGGGCTTGGGTAGAGAACTAACTTCAAGTGCGACAAATTAATTGCAACCTGTGCGTACCGGGTTTTGTCGAGCACAGGTAGGGTTAGTTAGCTCTGTGTGGTGCGGGGAAACGGCTATAGTATGGGTGTGGGAGGAGAAGGAAAGGAGGAGGAAGAGGCGTGGGTGGCGCAGTGAAGCGCTGGGCTGTGTTTCAGTTGTGGTATGTGCGCCCTCGGGGTTTTTAGTCTTTTCTGTTTCCAACCTGCAGCAGCACCACCAGCAGCAGCACAACTTTTCATCCTCACGTTCGCCTGGACAGCGGTTGCATCGAACCACGACCGGCTTTCATGTGTGATCTCTCATCTTGACCATCTAGTTTGAAGGGTTTCTGTTTTAGGGATTTTTTGGTGCGCAAAGTGCTTTCCTTGGTTTGTTAGTTAGTGGATGGGCGCTATACAACACTGTGTCATTTTATCTCCACGGCCCACGTCCAAACGGGCCGGCGGTGTTCCTAGATACACCGCGTGTAGCGCAACGAGGTTTCCTCCGGACATTTCCACTCTTCTTGCACACACATCACACCTATATCTCCCCCCTTGTTCAGCACGCGCGCACCATGAAAAGCCATTGTGGTGTCCTGCATGTCGACTTAACGTATCCCCAAACACACGGGGAATCACAACATATTTGGGGCCTGCAGCGATTGTGGAATCAGTAGTGTACAGCGCGAGAGGCGCTGGTACGAACATTCATGCCGTACATAGCTACGCACCATGTATTCACACCCTCACAAGGTATATTTTTTCTTTGCTGCGCAGTGTAGGTGTTAATCATATTACACCCCGCGCTGATGTTCGATCTGGTCCCGGAGCCGGTTTCGGAGTACGTGTTTGTATGCGTGGGGTGTGAGAGCTACAGGGTGTATTACGGACAGCATAGACTTTGAAGAAGGGTTTCAGTGGGCCCGGGTTGGGGCGGAGGGGAGAATCGACTTGGTTGTAATGAGGATTGTGGTTTCGCTTCCGCTGTCCGTGTAAATGGGGGGTTACTGGCAGGCAAAACCCACATCCCGTATTCCACATTAAATGCCATTTTTTAAAGCGCCTCTGCCGTGACGATCTGGAAAACGGTGGCGGGTAAACAACGGTCTGACGGCTGTGGGATGAGGAGGAGGACGACGACTAAGATGAAGATGATGGGAATGCGAGGCGCGTCTGCGGAAAGGAAGCGTGCCTTTAGGGTACGCGGGACATGTTGCCAACATTCGTACCAATATTCGTACTCGAACAGCAAAGCTCTACTTCCGACCCTTTTGTATGAGCACAGCGTCGCATCCACGATCAGTCTTCATTTCAATTTCAATGCTTCCTTGAACAATTCTTCGCAGTTCTTTCTGTCATGGAATGCCGCTGCGCAAGCACGGACATCATATCGACATAAGTAAAAGCCTGTTTGCTATTTCCTGCCTAATTGAGCAACAGTACGAAATCCAATTAGCCACATACAGTCACACAGCGAATCGACGACCACCAGCGACTGTGGCTTGCTTCCTAAGCCTCAGGCTGCACTACCTCCTTTCTTTGCATCCAAAAAAAACTCGCGTCCTCTTTTAAGGCATTCCCCCACCCGTTAATGTAACCCAGGTGTCCATCATGTGGGCGGACAACAGCAGGGGTTAGCAGCGAGACCCTGACTTCCTGAGAAAGCCCGCCCGGCTCTAAAGCAGCACCACGCAGATAACTGCAGCAGCACCCCAGAACGATTCTGGAAGGGAATAACCCCGAAGAAGCGCGGAGAGCGAAGGGCACTGCCCTTCACTTCAACTTGTTCTACTAGATTCTCCTTCACGGCGGAGCTCCGCAGGCTACTCGGTACACATCATTTTCGGCTGTTTTATTTTGTCACCTCCTTTTCTGTGTGCGTGAGGAGATTTTGGTAGTGTAGAGTAGCACGGCAGGTCGCCAATGGGTGCTAGGACACCTGTGGAGAGCTCCCAAACTAACGAACGCGTCAACCTCATTTGGAGCGGCGACGCAATGTTAGGAGATAGCAACAGATTTCCAAAAATTATAGCAAAAGACAGGCTATCAGATGGACAGATTGACAAACAGACAAACCTCATTGCATACATAGAAACGAGAGACTGGGAGGCGAGGAGTAATTGAAACCTTCCCCACGTGTCCCGTCTCCCGCTTTCCTAGCCAGAATCCTCCAGAAGAGCTGCACCTTCCTTCTCGTCCAGTCGGTTTCAACCCTCCTCCATAAAACACAAATTTCTGCTATTACTGCGCTATTCCTGAGCTAAGTTCACCACCGGGGGGGTGTCGTAGGTGGTGGTGGGGGTGCTGGTGGCGGCGGCCTCCTCCGTTGCCAGCTCACCCGCCACAGGCGAAGCTGCCGGTTCTTCCGCCGCAGCCGGCACAGCCGCCGCCTCCGCCGGCCCCGCCGCCGTCACTGCGGGGGACTCCTGCGATGCCGGCTCCGCCTCCGCCTCTTGCGATGGCGATTTAGCGATGGCGGCACTCGGGGCGGCGGCGCCAGTAGACGGCGGAGCGGCCTCCGCCTCGGCCGCGGCGTCGGCAGGTCCGGGCTCATGCTGCTCGGATGGAGCCACTGCTGGCTGCGGCGGCGACGGTGCCGACGGCGGCGACGGCTCTGCGGCTCCGGAACCTGGCGCCAACGAAGCGTCCGCCGCCTTGCCCGTACCTGGCGGAGAGGAGGATGTGCGGGCGGGGGTTGTGTACGGATAAAGTAGGCGATTTTGTGTTGGGCTGTGCCGCGTTAGCTGGGGGTGAGCGGTATTCGATACCATTAGGACTTACTAAACCCTTTCTCCTCCTCTTCCTCCTCCTCCTCATCGTCATCATCATATCATCATCGTCATCATCATCGTCGTCATCATCATCGCCACCATCATCGTCGTCATCATAACAAAGAAGTACAACATTGAACATCGCCGGGAGAGGAGGGGCCCCCTTCCCTATTGCCGCCTCGAACCGCCTTCTAGACACCGGGCCGCCTTCTTACCTTATCCCCCTCCCCGCCCGGTCCTCAACCCCCAATCCCCCCCCCAATCCCCACCCCCAATCCCCACCCCCCACCCCCTACCCACACCCACACCCACACCTCAACCCCGGTCCCGGCCCCACCAGGGCCTGATGCGAGCTGCTCGGATGTCGCGGCGGCGAGAGCCACCTCCGCCGCCTCTCCCTCATCTGGGCTGACGGCGGCGGCCCCGCCTCCGCCGCCGCCGGTAAGCGATAGCGATGGCGGCGCCGCGCCCTCGACCATCTCGGCGCCTCGACCATCCCCAGCGGCAACAGCAGCGGGAGCAGTAGGAGGGGCTGCAGTCGCCGGGGGCAGTGTCGCCAGCGCTGCCGGAGGTGTCGCCACCGAAGATGTACTCGCCGGCGGTACGGCCGCCGCCGCCGCCGCCGCAGCCGCAGCCGCTGGCGCAGTAGTCTTGTGCCGAGCACGGCGGGGCATGGGGGCTGCCTATCCGAGCGGGGTTGCACGGATAAAGGAAGGGCTGTGGGCGAGAAGTATAAACCACTGTTGGGGGGTTGTTGAGGAGGGGGGTGTAGGGGAGAGGACAGCAGCAATAGGACCCTCGGCCTGGCGGCTCCGAAACCCCCAAATCGTGATCGCATCTCGCATCTCGCATGCAACCGCAATAACGACCCAAACCGGAACCATAACTATACCCGCATCAAACGATCCGCTGCAGCAGCACCGACATGTCTTAGCACCGACACGGCAACATTTGCAAGTAAAACGACCGCAGCAACAAGTACCCAGGAAATTAAATTTACCCGTATTTTTGCGACGGCGGCGATGAGCAAAACAAAAGCCTCCTCCCCCCATTCGCCCTTTCCGTGAAAAAGAAGTGCGTTTTGTTAAATCCCCCTCCTAACCGACGTACACATACCCACAACTCACTAGACTCACAACACAACACGCACACGCACACGCTTCCAGTAAGACCCTAAGACCTCGATAACCCCCCCCAATAAGCCGCCAATATAACCATTGCAGCTATTCAACTTTTACCCCAGACCCCAAAACCCGTCCCTCCCCTTCCCCCCCTCACCACGATGGCCGCCGGTACGGGCTCCAAGACCCCCACAAAGGCCGTTTCCTCCCCCGCCACCACCCCCGAGGCCCCCGACTCCAGGGAGCCCGCCAGAAACGCACGCAGATTGAGGGCTCCCCGTACAAGCCAGGACAGCTCCAGGGCAAGCAGGTGCTCGGCCGCATCGAAGTCCGCGGCCAGGGAGGCCGCGGCGGCGGCCTCCGCATCTTCGGAATGGGCGGGGGAGGTGATGTTTTGCGGAGTTTGGTTGGGGAGTTAGGAAATAGGATATGATACGAAATGAGCACACCAGAGATAAAAAGGGCAAAAGAACTGGAGCTGGAGCGGGAGCGAAAGGGAATTTTACATGCAGCAAAAATAGAATAAAAGCAAAGCGATAGGCATTAAAAAAGCCCCAAACCATCATAACTGGCAAGGGAAGGGAAATGTAAGGCACCAGAAACAGTCATCACGTGAACCTAGCTAGGAACCGTGCGTTATCATTCATCATATGCAGATTCGAGGTTCAAGCAGCCATACCTCACCTAATAAATGTGTGTCGAGACAGCAACACCCCAACAACCCATTGCGCTCCCTACGATCTCACCCACGGCCTGAGGGGCGACCGCCGATTCGCCGCCGCCACCATGCCCCGCAGCAGCAGCAGTAGCAGCGGACTCCGCCACGGCGGACGTCGTCGGCTCCGAAACCGCCTCCACCTCCGTCTTGCGTTCGCCCCCCGTCTCGTCCTTCTGAGCCGCAGGTGTGGTGGTTGCAGCGGTGGTTGTGTGGAGCTTTCGGGCGGCTTGGAGCACCTTGGCTTCCAGCTGTCGTACAGCTTGCATGCGTAGCTGCGTGGTGGCGGTGGCAGAAGAGGACGAGAAAAGAAGAAGAACAAAAAGGGCTGTTGAAAGGCGTTCGTCTTAGGGTTTCACCCTTCCCCTCTCATCCAACTGCTACATTACTTATATGTATTATCTGTGTTATGTTTTCCCTTTTGCTGTTGATGGTTTTGCTGCTAAGACCAAATGTTAGATGATCACATCTGGACATAACGACGGACGCACCCGGGCATCTTCGTACGTGCCCAGCCAAACGGCAATCGGCAGCACCAGCGACTCGAACCGCGCCGCAAGGTGGGACTCCAGGGATCCCAACAGCGCAGTGTGGAAGTCACTGCCGTACAGCCACTCGTGGGCAGCCGGCGGCGGAGGCTCCACAGCAGCCAGCTGCTGCTGCTGGCCAGTGCCGCCGCCGCCAACGTTGCCACCCGCGGTACCTGAGGTGCCGTCACCGCCGGGAATTGAAGCGGCGGAGGCGGCAGAGGCACCACCGCCAGGCATCGATATGTAGTCGTACAGCGCTGGCGGTTGTGCTTCTCGCATGAAGGAGCTGACGCCGCCGAGAAAGACTGTGTGCGCGCATACGTGTGTCGGGGGGGGGGAGGAAAGACGGGAAAGAGGTCGGAGAGGATAACAATGCGGGGGGTTGGAGGGGGGGGGGGTTCCGCCGAGGGCGTTGTCCATGGGGATGTGGTGAACCGCTTGTGACTGTGATCGCAAAAAACAGAATTAAATTTCGGAAGTCTTAAAAAACAGAGTTATATCCCATAAATGGCATAACCCCATATTGCTGATAGCCCATGTGCGTGTGTGAAAGCCCTGAGGCAGCCGGCGTGATAAGGGAGGAGTGGGGCATGTGGTGAACCACGGATCGGTCGGGATGGGTGATTGCCACACACACGCGGAGACGCGGCAAACACATACGCGGCAAAACACACACGCGGCAAACACACACGCGGCAAAACACACACGCAAAACACCCACCCTGTGTTGCCGCCCGGTACTGCTCCACTTGCAGCTTGAGGTGAGTCAGGTCCTTGGCGAACAGCTCCAGGTCGTCCAGACTGTACTGGTGCCGCTCAAGGACACCGGAAGGGGAGGAGGGCCCGCCGGAGAGGCGCCGGTGGGGGTGGTGGCGGTGGCGGCGGCCGGCAGCTGGTGATGATGGGGCACCTCCAGCGGTTGAAGAGGATGTGGTTTCGGAGCGGCTTGAAAAGGCCTTCACAATCTGCACATGAACATGCATAACATACAGACAGAACATATCAGGTGATAACGAGGTTGGGTTGGACTGTGCTGGCGAGAGGCAATTGTTAAGGATGTGGTTAGGTGGTTAGGACTGGTAAAGGTGAATTGTTCGCGACTACTAGAAGGAAAAGAGGAACATCCTCACGGACGACGAGGTCTCGCAACGCGTGCCTGACCGTCCAAGGAAAATTGAACAGGCAGACAACTTAATTGCAAAGGAACAGAATTGGTGTTTGCGAGAGAGAGCCGTAAACAACCAAGCGGCAAGCGAGGGAGAGTCGCAGATCTCCTCTAGCTGTCGCATGCATTTCGTCAAAAAGATCTCGCGCGGCCAGAAAGGCCCGCTGCTGCTCCAAATGCTGCTTCAGGAGCCCATCGCAAAAACCTTAGGGTTGGTCCTACAACGTTTTTCATGCTTGGGGTTTTATCCAACCGACCTTGGCCCACATGATTTCCTTCTTCTGTCAGCAGCTGATTGGCTCGTCTTGCTTGTTCGGTCTAGCCCTCTTGAGAACGCACAACGCCTTGCGGATGTGATGCTTGATCTGCGTCTCGGCTTGATGCTGGACCGTGGTCCTCGAGGACAGCAAGATGTGCGTTGATGCCGTCTCCGATTAGCCAAATGAATTCAGGTTTGATTTCGGAAGTACTGTTAATTGTCAAGGTATTCATCGACTTTGTGGGTGTGCTAACGGCCCCATCGACAGCGTTTTTTTTGCGGATACGGCGATGACGACAGCTCCCTACAGGTCAGCTTGGCTTACTTTTGGAAAAATCGCTGGCCGTTATCCACCACAACTAACGACCTTCCCCCATAGCTTTGAGCTGATGAAATGGGCATTTAGGCATTTGCGGCCGGATTAGGTTGGGTTCGGTGCTGTGGCGCGACAGCTGTAACAAGTATGTGGCTGTGACTCCCGCTTAAAGACGCTTGGGGACGCTTCTTAAATTTATAAGAAAATAGCATGCATGTACACCTCCAATAAAACCCTCGTCGCGGCATTGCACCCCTTCCATGTTTCATAACGTAAAATTTTTATCAGTGCAGCTGGGGCTATACATGGATGGCGCTGCGCTTGCATGGATATGTTATCAGGATGGTTGGGCTTCAACCCACATCTCATGATGGAGGTGAATGTTATGGAGAGGTTTAGGAGAGCTATAGGTGGGTGGCTTAGGCTTCTTGTCCTCATTGTTACACTATGTTAACGCTAAACGGACCACAGCAGCGATGCCACCGGGTCTGGCCCCAACCGACGCTGCCACCGTGCTGCCTATCTACCACCGTAGTTGCATCAACCACCACTCCGAACCGCGGCTTGCGCCTCGATTACACTGCCCCGCTGATCGGCTTAGTATCCCCCGGTTTTCCCTGCTGATCGGCTTAACCCCCTACCCCCCCCCCCACTAATGACCGATTATTTCAAGTTGGACCAGTGGCCGGCCGTGACACTTAGGCACTCAACCACCGAACGCGCCAACGCCCGGGGCTGAAAGCCAAAAAGTCCCAAAAACTGGGTGGAGAGGGCGGGAATGACAGTATGAACCTAAGGTCACGATACGGCGAATAGCCGAAACAGAACGCAGTTCAGTGTAATATCCATACTGAAGACAGTACGACAAGTACAACGAGTAACATCTTCGTCCAAGAACCCGCCTTCTCGCAACGAGAAGTCTACGCGTATCAGCATGAGCTAAGTTGTATTCCGTTTTCACTATCCGGCAAGTGGATCCTGCGCGAGCGTGCGACCAGTAGACAGTAGGTGGATAGGCTGCCATGCCATCGACTGGCCGGGCAATTAGTTATGATGCCTAATCGTGTGTTCGGGGCGACCCGTGGGTCCGTCAGCGGGCGGCCAGCGATATCAAGTCATGTGGGTTAACGAGACCTCCTGGTGGTGAGAAAAGAACGGCAATTCATTGCCGCCCTGACTCGGTCTGCAACTCATGGGCTTCCAACAGGCGGACGGTGGGAAGTGGCTGCCGCAGTACTGCCTTTGCCACTGCCGTCTGTTACGTGCGTACCGTAACCCCAGAGGGCTTAATAGTTAGGATGCAGTAAGTTAATACATGCTGATTCACAGAGGGACGATGAGGGGGACATTATTGCTGAAATCAGTGAAGGGGAACACCGGGCCAAACGGGTCCGTCCCAGCGGACCGCAATTTCAATGATGAGCCCAAGACAAATATGCAGCAAGTCGCGGGAGAGAACCAAGCAACGGGACTTCTATCATATCGTCCGTAAAAGGACGTGTTCCAGGACCTAACAGAGCTCGTAGTAACGGTGTTGGCAGTTAACCCTGGCTTTGTACATTTGCGCAGCCATGCTTCGACAATTAGTTCCGCAGTATGCATAATAAGCAGTACATTATAAGTGTGATTGAACTCAGACATATTAAGATTCAACTTACTATGCTGGAAATGTGGGGTTCACGGCCAGCTCCCGCAGAACAGCTTGCGACAACGGGTAGGAATTATGTAAAGCTTTATTCTGAGGTATACCTGTTAATAAATTGAGGACTTTGACTTTTAACAGTTAACCAACTAAGCGAAGGGTTGCTCCTCGTCCCGCACCTGATCGAAACCGAACCACAACGAGGGCTCATGGCCGTCGCAGTGAGTGCAAAATTAACTTTATGGATTCTGTGTGGAGCTATTCCTTCGTTGTGTGAAACACTGTTTCATATGCGCAGGAACACGTCCGACGGTGTGGCCCTGCCATGTCCGACACGGCGCGGGCTATCGCGCGACAAGGCGAAAGCGCTGTGGTGAGGGAAGGGATAAGGGCGTGGATTGGTTTCTGCTCCTTCTGCTGCTACTCTGTTCCTCGTCGCAAACCTCCATCCTTTCCTTCTTCAGAATCCTCCCCTCCCTAAAATCTTTTTCTCGTCCTGCTACCGCTGTTGCTGCCCACCCTGCCGCCCCCTCCTCCTACATGCTCCCCGTTTCCATGCTAAGCGCCTGCTGGCCCAGTCTGTTGTTTTGAAGCAAGACTCGCTGTTGCTGCTTTTCCCTCTCCTCTTCCCCACCTAGCTGGTCCTCGGCTTCTTGCATATAATCGCTTCTTGTGTACATTTTCTCTTCCATACAGCAGACTGCCGAGGAGCTCTCAGAAGCCGTGGATGCGCTTCAGGAGCATTCCCAAGTGGGGGCTCCAGCACTGAGCCGCATGCTGGCACAGCTACGACGAGTGACACAAGGGCCGCAGCAGCAACCGCCGCAGCAGCACCTAGCGACAACGACATCCAGCCAGACGCGTGGAGCGGCAGCAGCAGCAGCAGCAGTACCGCCGCGCAGCACCATCATTAGCACACCACCAACGACAACAACAACATGAGCAACAAGGACAAAAGTAGCAAGACCAGATTTTGATAGATTCAATGGGTTGGTCCACGCCAAACCTGTGTAACACCCCCCTAGCTATATGGATGCAGCATCGTTTAAAGTCGCCAGCGCAGATGTGTATATGTCCGCAAGGTGACTTGTGGTTGTGCCTCAAGCATAGCGTTTTATTTCATTCTGACATGTGCGACGGCACGCTGCTGGTTGGCAGCAGGATGGTCTGAAAAAAGACTGAAAAAGAACTGAAGGAAGGTCACACGTAGGGCCCCCCGGCCCGCCCTAGGCTAGGGACGTGTGCTCCGAAACCCCGTGTGTATGCCAGAGCACAACCTATATCCCCCACAATGACACAGCCCCGTGGAAGTACGGCTGGAAGTACGGCACCTGGAGAGCTTGCAAAGATGCGTGGTGCCATTACGGATCCGGCGTGCTAATGAAGCCTGCTTGGGGTTAGGCCTCGTGTGGAGCTGCTATACATGGAGAGTGTATGCACGTATGTCTGTATATCCACGTCAGCATTGAACCCAATGCACATAACCCGAGGGGTGGAGGACGCGCGTATGTGTGTGCATCTGCATGTGCGTGTGCATGATTTCTGTGCGTGTGTGGCTGTATGTACGTATGTATGTACGTGCACGTGCGTGCGTGTAGCACGGCACGGTGTTTCGGCTGTTGTAGCGGAAAGCCTCCTCTGGTGACATTGTTCTACCCCTTGTGCTTTCCAGAGATGAGCAAATGATGCAACTCATGTGCGTGTGGGTGTTTGCGGCTAATAGTTATATTCGTTATTGTCTCGTTAACTACGGATTGTATTTTTATGTCATATGTGCGTGTTGTGTGTGTGTGTGTGTGTTATCGGCATGCAGCCTCTGTTTCCCCACATCTTAAGCTCGTGACCCCAAGCGCCTGACTCGGCGCATTTTACTCATACACACAGCAAACTCATACATTCAGCGTGCCACCATTCCTCCGTGGCTTCTAACCGCTTCCGGACACCCCACCGCGTCCACGTCCACAAATCATGTGGCACAGTCGCGCCAAAGGCCTCCGGTGACATGGAAATGTCTCCCGATGTTTTCTCTCACCCTCTCTCCCTCCTTCCCCCGGTGCGTGTGTGTGTATGTGTGTGTACGCACCCTACCTTACGCAACCACCACCTCAACCACTCGAACATGCACCCTCACATACACGTACATACATACACACACAAGACACGCACAAACCTGTCATTTGCGTGTTAAGCGGTACACACGTTTACACGCGCACGTGTTGTTCGTGTGGCAGAAGAACCATCAGCAGCGCCACCTCCCCCCTCCCCCTCCCCCGCCATCACCTTCACCCGCTCGTGGTTCGTCTCCCCCCCCCCAACACACGAAGACAGACAGACATATAGGCAGCCACACTCTCACCCTTACTTACACATGCACATACATACAGAAACCACCGCACTGCCGCTCTCATGCCTCCCGCTGCTCTTGCCTTGGGGCACAGATTGCGCCCTCCCTCACTCACACATCCCCTCATCACTCAGAGGCAGCCGCCACTACAGCCGGTGCTGCTGCTGCTGCTGCTGCTGCCGGTGCTGGAGGTGCGAGGGCGCCCGCGGGGATGACCACCACGTCCGCATCCGGTCCCGGGGGAGGGGAGATGAACACATCGGCATCGTCGTTGTAGCTGCGGGCCGCAATGCCGCCGCAGATAAGGCCCAGGACCACCAGAGAGGGGATGAAGAAGCGCTCCATCACCTTGCCAAACGACTATTGATGATGATCATGATGAACAGCAACAACAGGGGGAGGGGGAGGGGGGGAGGAGCAGCATGGAGAGCAGGAGAAAGGTGGAAAGGCAGGGGGAGGGGAGGGGAGGAGGGGGAGGGGAGGGGGTCAAAGGGCAGCAGGTGTAGATTACTCTCTGTCCAGCAGCCAGCTAGGGCACCTTCCTCAGCGGCATCTTCTGGATGGAACTGACGGTCGACCACCACCACCACCACCACCACCACACATGTGCCAAAAACATTGACGTGGGCCTCCTACTTTCATCATTTGCGGATAATGTGAAACCGTTGCCCGTACTCGGCATCATGTACGGCAAAGTACAGTGAATACGGCAAGTATGGTCGGCCATGGGGCTGCAGCATGACCCTCGGTAAAGAGAGCGCAGTAAAGAGACGCCTCCCTCTTCCCTCTCCCTTTCTGCCAGGCCTCTCCCACGAAATTAGCGCAGATTCCGTGACCAGGGGGTGCCGTATTCTGTGTACAAGGGGTACAACTTAAGATTATGACTTCTCCCTGATGCCCCTGATTCCCTCGCCCTTGCGCCTGATATAGGGCCCATCGTTAAGGGCACATCTGAAGTGCAATGTTCAAACCCCGCCGGACGCATTTGGTCCGGTCATCTGGTCTGGTCATCCAGCTGCGGGGACTGGGTTTGCACCTACCCATACTGGATAAATCGCAAAATTGAATCGCAGCTTACCTCCATATTGTCTCCCTCCCAGAAATCCTTCTCGTCCTCTGGCCCCGACAGCTTCCCATCCGTTTCAATTATGCGTGCTCCATTGGCCGAGAATTCCCGGACAAAGGTCGGCTTCTCTGAAGCCGTTGATGCTGGCGCTCCGCCCGTCGTCACAGCGTCCTGCTTTGCCTGCAGCGCCGCAGAATCGCTCTCTTATCAGAAGCGTCGCTGGCCAAACTTAATTATAGGCTTGCAAATTTGAGTCAACCGTAATAACAAGCGCTCTTTAAATCTAATAGGAAAGGAGTAGCAGCTGATTGGTGAAACCCAGCGAAATATCCGACGCACCTCCGTGGCGCACGGCGCAACATGACGAGCGCGCCGCAATGAGCGACTTGGACTCGCCCGAATCGCGCTGACACCTCGAGCAAAGCAATGTAGGGATGACATCGCGATTAAGTAGTAACTAACTTCTGGAACGTGATATTACACAGCTCGAACGTATTGGTTCCTCAACTCACAGGGTATAGCTATTATTCGTTTTGGTTTGACATAGCAAAAGACCAGTTTGCCAGAGGTGAGGGGTGGAGATGTCGTAGGGTCTTCGGAGCAGCGGCAAAACTCTTTGGGCGCGCAACTCTTTGATGTGCAGAGATGACGACGGTAACAGGACTTGCTGGGCAGGTTACTTCGAGTCTTTGAGGCGACTGCCAGCTAAGAAAGTTGCCTGCGTCTTGAGCACCGACGTAACGCCCTATTGCAGTCCTTCGACAGCACGCGCCTTGGCCATTTTCCTTCGTTAACAGCGCATCATGTCTGAGGTAGATGGCAAGATCCCCTCGGGCACTGCCCTATCATTCAAGCCCAGTCCAACCGTTCCGCTGTTCAGCGATCTGGCGGATGTGTACCCCGACAGCACAGGTCTGAGCGGCCGCGCTGCCGAACTAACACCGCAATCACGACGGAGGAAATAAAATGTGACCTGGTGGCTAATCAGTCGGAATCTCAAACGAAAACCTGTGTCTGCAGGCGTTGCTGAGCGGTATAAGCAAATTGCCACGGCATTCGAGCTGGCTTACGGCGCCAAACCGGACTTTTATGCCCGCGCACCTGGTACGTGGCAGCTCATGGAGAAGCTTTGAAAATTTTGAGCGGAGGGCCAGCTCTTTGCAAGGCCTCTTCTATGGGATGTTCCATAGCCACATCCCGCCACGCACTTCCTCAAGCCCACGAAGTTTCTTCCCGAACTTTCTAACACGTGCACAAACACCCAAAGTATTGACTGCGATCCCACTGTTCAGAGGTCGTCCTCCCGCCCAGACTACACACGGGCTGAAAGTTTGGCGGCGGTCGCAATTACACTTCACACCACACGCAAACAAAACTCATCGCGCCACAGCCCCACATCGTGACCCGACCCGACCCGACTAGTCATAACACACAAAGATTTGGATCATTCACCTCAGTACGATCCGGTACTACTTAACAGGCCGCGTCAATCTGATCGGTGAGCACATCGATTACGAGGGCTACGGCGTGCTTCCCATGGCGATACGGCAGGTACGGCAGCGCTTTCTATGAAGGTTTCGGAGGAGCTCCCTGACCAGGTCCATCCTGGCTTTTGTATCTTTTCTGCATCAGTTTTCTCTGCGTTGTTTTGCTGCTGTGTGTTGCTATGGCTAAAGTCGTTACCCTCTTCCGTTTTTCTGCCCTTCTACTCACGGAGCGTCGGCAAGTCAAAGTTTTGGCATATTGCGAGTAGCGCCCACCATCACCCGCCGTCACCTCACACCAACACACACCACACCACACCAACACACCTGACCGCAGTCCACCCCTTGCGTCTCTACCTCCCTATATGGCGCCCGTCACCTCCCTCCCCTTTACACGCTACATACAGACATATAGACATAATAGATATATACGTACACAAAAACTCATTCCTTCATTCGTACACATTGGCTCCTACAGGATACGGTGGTTGCCATCCGTACTGCCCCCGGTACGGACAAATTGGTGATCGGGAATGTGGAAGCTTCTAGGTACCCCACCGCGGAGTTCGGGTTGGACCCGACTCAGGAGGTGGACGTGGGGAAGCACTCCTGGGCCAACTACTTCCTGTCGGCGTACAAGGTACGGCAGGTGTACGGAGATGTGGTTTCTTGTCTTTAGTCTTGCGCGTACGGCATTGTGGAATGTAAGGCGAAATGTTGCAAAAATGTTTTGCAACATTTTTGCGGAATGTTTATTTATTATTAATGTCGAAAACATTTTTTAGGCTGTAACATTTGCAACCTCCTTCCTCAACCTAAACCTGTTGTTGTTGTTGTTGTTGTTTGTTGTTGTTGTTGTTTGACGTTGTTACTGAACTCCCTAACGCCTACGGAGCTTAAATTGGCTCTTCCTCCTTGGTGTCGTACAATCCACTTATTCACACGCAGGGTGTGTTTGAGCTGCTCAAGGCCACTCGTCCGGACTCGGTTCCGGAGCCCGTGGGGCTGCAGGTTGTCGTACATGGCCAGGTGCCCACTGGTAAGATGATCCAGGTCGGGGAAACAGAATCGGAGTACGGGAGAGTGTGCGGGGGACGTGTGTGTATATGTGTGTGTTGCGTGTTCGACCCCTGTGCGAGGAGGGATACCACCCGTGTGGTGTGTGTGTTTTACCCACACGGAGCATCCCATTCCAAGACCAGGGGCGTGCAGCCCGGGTTTGTTGTGATGTAATGGACTTAAAACACGGACGGCCTTCGCCATGCGGAGGTCGTGTGGGGGGGTGGGGTGGGGCGGCCAATGAGGAAACAGGACAAGAAGAGTGCACATATATATTTATCAATCTGTGTGCCCAATATGAAATAACGGACCTTCCCTGTGGAAAGACGCACAAAGAGGCGGTGCGATGCAAGCGGAGGGGTGCATAGAGCTGTTGAAGACAGGGCCTTTGCTGGGGTCGGAAGTGGAGGGAGGGTCGCTATCGAGGGGGGGTGCTGGAGACATATACATACACATATACATACATACATACATACATACATACATATATACATACATACATACATACATACATACATACATACATACATACATACATATGGTTGCTGGCACATATTGACAGGTTTCCTAACCTTTCCGTCCCTCCCGCACGCTGATCGCTTTCCGTGCATCCGGGAAACACAGGTTCGGGTCTGTCGTCCTCCGCAGCCATCGTTTGCTCGTCCATGCTTGCCGTACTGTCGGCGCTTGGGGTGCCGCCTGCGGAGCTCGACAAGGCGGCGGTGGCGGAAGCGGCTTGCAAGGTACGCGTGGTCTCCGCTTCGAATACTCACTGTTTTGTTGTCGTACACAGCAAGACGTAACGGCGCACTGTTAGAAAACCTATTGATTGTACGACGGGAAAAGGGCCCCGTCTACGATCCCTATCGTGGTGGCCCTCTCCACAACCCACTCAATCGGAGAGTGTGTGTGTTTACGGCGTCTGTGGGGCTAATTTCCTCCCCCTCCCCCCCCCTTTCGTCCCCTTTCCTCCCCCCTATCTCCCCTTTTCCTCCCCCCTTCCCCCACTTCCCCCCCAACCTACCTAACCTACATCCCGAGCCCCGCCCCCTCACCACCAGGCCGAGCGCTATGTCGGGGTCACCAGCGGCGGCATGGACCAAGCCATCTCCATGATGGGCCAACAGGGGGTGGCCATGCACGTGGAATTCAACCCGGTGCGGCCCCGGGGGGGGGGGCGGGGGGAGCGGGGGGGTTTGCGTGGTGTGATGTGTATATGTGTATGTGTATGTGGGGGGTGATGCGGATTGGGGGCAGAGAAGGGATTGTGGGGGGATACACAAGCGTCAGGAAGGGCTACCTTACCAGGGTGTTGGGTGCCGTACAACTCGTGTATCGTACAATCCAGTCGCTGGAGGTGTTCGTGCGTGTGTGTGTGCGTGTATGTGTATGTATGTGTGTATGTGTGTGGCTCCGGGTTATGTGGGAACAAACCGACCCATGTTGGGGCTGGTGGTGGGGGGGAGAGAGGGTGCAAGTGCTGGTGTTGCTCCGCCTGCAGCTGCAGCCTGCAGCCCTCCTTGCCATGTCAGGCTTACTTTCCCTTCTCCTATCGTAACCAAAGCTACGAATGTTGATGCCGTACTGCACCCACTGCTGGTATGTGCAACTGGTGCGCATCTATTGTCCTAACGTCAGGTTCGCGGCGTGTGTGTCGTACTGCCTGAGGGGGGTACCTTCGTCATTGCCAACTCACTCGCCGTATCCAATAAGGCCGAGACCGCACCCAAACGGTACGTACGGTAGGATGTGCCGCGATGGAAGTCAGCCACTTGTTTCTAAGTGCATGAACTTGTTGCATTGACGCTGCCTCAACAACCTCCCCACCTCTCTCTCACACACATACACATATACACACAGACATACACACACAGACATCCCAATGCCGAAACTGTCAATGTGTATGCACCCTGCACCATCATGAACGTCCCCACCCCCTTGGTGCCGCCCGTCCCCTCTCCCCTTTCCCCCACGTCGCCGTACCTGTTACCCCAAACCCCCTCCCCTTTCCCCCACGTTGCCGTACCTGTAACCCCAACTACCTCCCCGAACCCGCGCGTGCTCTTATGTCTCTTATGCACCTCATACCAGCCGGCCTTCCGGGCTGCATCCTTCCGAATCCCCCCCCCACACACCCCCAAACGTTATTTCATTAATACCCTCCTTACCCTCCGACTAAAGCTGGACTCGATAAAAAACCATGTTGTCGTATTTCGTATCACGTCACAGGTACAACCTCCGTGTCGTGGAATGCCGCCTGGCTGCCGTACTGCTGGCCATGAAGTTGGGAATGAGCGCCGAGGACGCCCTGGGCAAGGTAGTATACGTGTTTGTGCTTGTGTGGGGGATTTCTTAGGCACGTGTGTGCGTGTGCGTGTGTGTGTTTTTTTGGTTGGGGGGAACATACACGATATACATATAATAAATAAATAGGTACGTACATACGTACATATGTACACACAAAGCACTAGTTTTCCTCAACCACGGGCCTACACTGACAACCTACAACCGAATCACCCTAACCGCCAACCACCTTTGCCAAATCCCTTCAGATCCGAACCCTGCGTGATGTCGAGCCCCTCATTGCCGAAAAGTACGGCAATGCGGACGGTGCGACATGTGCCAACGCGGTTTCGGAGCACCTCGCCGAGCAGTACGGCATGGCCGAGATCGAGGATGCGCTTGGTGGTCGAAAGCTGGGGGAGCTGTTCTCCGGCGAGGCAGGCTCCCTCCGCGCGCTGGCAGTGGCCGAGGCCGACAAGTACGGCTTCCCGCTTCGGAAGCGTGCCGTACATGTGTTTTCGGAGGCGCAGCGCGTGCTTGACTTCCGGACAGTGTGCGAGGTGCGAAACCACCGCGGTGTGTGTGCGCGCGTGTGTGCGTGTGTGCGTGTGTGCGTGTGTGTGTGTGTGTGTGTGTGTGTGTGTGTGTGTGTGTGTGAGCGTGCATGTCGATAATTCTATGTTATCACGGCTCTAGGAACGGGAAGCCGCGGGTGCTCCAGGGTGGCTTGAGCAAAGTAGGTCAGTAGGTCACACTCGTAGGTTACACGCGGGTACTTCTGTTTTGCGTACTGGAATATGTGCACGCAATTCCTGTACAGATGCAAATATTGCATCCTAGCTGCGAATAGAGAGGACATGCGGTCGGTCTTATTGTTGTTAAGCCGGAGAAGACAGGCAACTTAAAACACACACATACATACACACATACACACACGCGTGTGTGTGCTTTCCTTCCTCCTGCCCGTTCCCCTTTCCCCCTCACTCATACAGCATACTGCTCCCCCTCCCCTTCCCCCTCCCCCACCATCACCTGCACTCGCTCGTGGTTCGTCTTCCACCTCCCCCCCCTCCGCGGCGTGTGTCAGCTGGGTTGGTTGGGTTGGTTGGGCCAGGCGTGTGTCAGCTGGGGGGGAGCTGGGAGGAACACTTGCATGTCAGCAAGCACCTTTGCCAGCAGCAAAACGTCCAGCAAAGTCATAACACCTCCTTTCCTCTTTGCCGCCTCAAGTTCCACACACATATGTCGCCACCAAGACCACTAATAAAGTTGTCACTTGTCAGCAAATATTCCCGATGCAATATTGTCTCACTTCCTGGACTATCTATCATTCTGGTTACCTGGTATCTGCTTCAATCGTCAGTGGTTCGTCTCACGCCCCCTCTCCTCCCCCCCCTCCCCCCCCACCTCTCCCCCCCACAGGATGTGTCGTTGTCCCCGGCCGAGCGCCTCACTCGTCTGGGGGGCCTTATGAATGACTCCCACGGATCATGTGCGGATCTGTACGGCTGCAGTTGTGACGAGCTGGACGAGCTGGTGGCGGTTGCGCGAGGCGGGGGGGCTCTGGGGGCGCGGCTGACAGGTACGTGTTTGTGGCACGCACGCGTTGTGGGTTTTGGGGTGTCGTGTTAGATAAACCGATTGAACCGTCCCCTCCCTTCCCTTTCAGCTTCAATCGTGTGTGGTTCGTGTTTCCCCTCCCTTCCCTCCGCCTTTCTGTGGTACATTCACACCTTACACCCAATAAGGCCCGGCCATGTCTCTTGGCGCTCGTTTGAGAGCGCTCTCCATCCGACGTTATAATCGTGTACTCGTCCTCCTGTGCTCCCGTGTGCTATATACACTCCCGATCTGGTAATGTACGGCAATGTGCGGTAAGGTGCGGTAATGACGAAGATATTTGCGATATCGCTGGAGGTTTATCAAAGTAAAATTGATCTTCTGGAAAGGGCTGTCCAGCGCATCTTGACTCGGTCTGCCATTTGCCACCTTTCTGGTTCCCGGCTTCATGCGGGTGAGTGATTGAATGAGTGTATGTGTGTGTATGTATGTATGTGTACGACACCCCAGGTGCGGGCTGGGGTGGCTGTACGGTATCTCTTGTACGGGATGCGGACGTGGAGGCCTTCCTCGAGACGCTCAAGGACAAGTACTACAAGGTATGGTGTCGTACATTAAGCTTAGTCTACATCCCTGTCCCGCGTCGCCCTGGCCCGCATGTGGGTTCTTCTATCTATTTTTAATAGGCCTATCTCTTTTGATGGCTGCTGCAAATATTTGGGTCGTTTCGCGCTTGCTTCGTTTAGTTCATTATAATAACGTATAATGTAAAGTCCGTAGAGTCCATGGAGCCCCTTCTGGAATAATATCACTGCGCGAAAATATCACTGGCCAAATTAGGCAGCAGCGGCAGCTCGACCAACCCAACCCACTTTATCTCCCAAGCTTCCTGACCTGCGCACAGTCCTATTTGACGGCGGAATCGAACAGTATTCCCATGATGTGCCGTACTCCTGTACGTCTTGTACGACAAGAGTACGAATGGACGACCTATGAAAAGCTAGAGCCACCTCCGAAGCCTCTTTCTTCCTTCTCATGATGTGCCGTACTCTATTTGTTACATTTACTTCTTCCCTTCTTCTCCTCTAAATTCACCTGCTAAACAAAAACTGTCACTTTTCTTACCTAGGGTTGGAACGGATGCCCGATAATGACCTGATGCAAGTGGGCCAAATACACCATACACCTGGAGCAGGACTTCTAAAACTCCCAACATATTTTCTGACGTCAAGACATCAACATGTAGGTATCTTAGACGTGCAGGTTCAGATTTCATTCCCCTTCCATCCCTGCAGGCCCGTATTGAGGGCGGCAGTCTCACTTCCGAGCAGCTGCCTGAAGTGCTTTTCGCAACGAAACCAGCCAACGGCGCCGCGCTCTTGAAGCTGGTCGAGGCGGCGGAGGCGGCGGAGGCAGAGGCGGTGATGGCGGAGGACGCGCCGGCGGCGGCAGAGGCGGTGATGGCGGAGGACGTGCCGGCGGCGGAGGCGGCGGAGACGGAGACAGCACCAGCGGCGGCAGAGGCCGCGGCGCCCGGGTTGGAGGCGGAGGCAGAGGCGGAGAAGCCCGTGGTGGAGGCGCCGTCGGTGGCGATGGAGGATGCTGCGGCGGCGTGAGTGCGTGTGTGGCAGAAGAGGCGGAAAGCCAGAGGCAGGATGTGGTCCGGCCTACCTAGCAGTATGAGCGCACTCGCGCACTAGTAAAGTTGTGGGGTAATCTGGGTACTGACGGTGAGGTTTGTAAGGCTGAGAGGGCAATGGCGTGTTGAGGTGGAGCGGTTAAGAAAGGAGGAGGACGGCGGACAGGCCGGACCATACAAAATAGTGTTTGTAATGCCGTACACATTCACCCGTGCGGTACTCGAGTATTCACTGGCTAGGACACGGATTTGGATCTTGTGAGCGTTTCGGTCACGGGATTTTAATAATTTTGGGTTCTAGGGAAAGTGGTATTGGGAACGCGGCTCAGGAGGTTTTGCGAAATACATGTTCCGGTTGTTTGCAAATGGGGGTTATTGCGTGAGTAAAGTAGGATGCGGCGTGATGGGGTGCGAGTGCGTGTTGAGTGTGCGGGTGCGGGTGCGGTGCACCAGAGGGGTGTGGCTTCGCAGGATGATGGGGCGATGGGCGGCGTTCGTTGCTTTTCTGCTGGGCCTGACAGGGGACTTCGGTCTGTTGTCCGAACCTGTCCGGAAATTAAAATTTTTTCAATTTGGACCCCGAAAATGGCCTTCGGACGAGTTTGGAAAGTCCGGATTTGGTTTCGGTTGTTGATCCCTCGGAACGCCGCGACTTTTCAAAAAAGTTCAGAAAAGAAATAAAGAAATGAAGGAATGCGACTTGCGGTCAGAGATCCGCCTGGCCTGCATTTCTTTTGGCTTCTGCCTGAGTCATGGGGGTTTAAGTAAGGAAATGACTGATTGCGTTCTTTTACCTGTAATCATAATTTCCCGTAACGAGCACATAACGTCCGAGGTGACATTTTTGCAGCTGTTTGCATATATGCACTTCATTGCATGTGGGCCTTTCCTACCCGCCAATCAAGGGGGAGAAGACCAAGGATGACCGGAAACTCCTCTCTCCCCCAAGGCGGAGGAGAGAGGTTCACGGAGGTATATGACAGGAGCTGTCCTTGCCTTACAGCAATCTATCGAACGGATCTGCTACGTAGACTCCCAGCTCACATCCACAGGGACGGCAGCAGGATGACACCCATCTGTGCGGCGCAGTATGCAGGATTTAAATCGCCAGCAAACCAAGTGTGTGTGTGCCCTCCTTCAGCTCGCATCCATGAAGACCGCGGGGCGTAGGAATCACGGCGTGCGGGAAGCAACCTAGACGCGCATGATGCCATGTCCCGCATGTGATGATGCACCCGATGCGGCAAATGCAATGCGCGGGGGCCGCCCAGCCCAAAAGCATGACCATCGAATCGGCCGCATCGTCGGGCTGGAAAGCGCATCGACAGCAGTCAACGACTCACACGCGCGACTGACAAGCAGTAAGTACAGAAGTTAATGGCTCGGAGGATGAATTCCTCGTCTTCGCATAGCCTACCCCTTGACCTCATCGTCGTTAACTTTTGTGTTGAGCGACCGCCTGGGTGGATAAGAATAAACTGTCGAGATCATGTTGCCCTGGTGTAAGGCAAGGGTCGTACACGTGATAGGTAGGTAGCCTTCCGTAATCTTGGCTCTTACCCGAGGGGGCTAGCCCAGCGCCCTAGATGCGGGGGGGAGTTTGGGGAGGTAGGACTCGGTTGTTAACCGCTTTCATGGCGTTTACATAGGAGGACGTACGACACAGGTTTGTGCTGTGTTGTGCCGAGCTGCGTTCTGCTGCACTGCTATGCTGAGTTACACGCTGTGATCTGTGTCGGCTGCCGGCCAACTTCTCTCGTTAGATGCACATAGTACTGGGGACGGTACACCTTCCTCCTGAATACTATTACCAGTTGCAGGCCGGGTGACTTGCATCCTGATTATATCCCACCAGGACACTTTGAGCTGTGTGTGTGAAGGGGGGGGGAGGGGGGAGGGAAGGAGAGGGGTTGGAGAGCTGAGGGTGGAGAGATTGAGGCGCCTGAATAGGCTACCCGCGCCGGTCGCCTATCTCCCCCCTATCTCGCAAGGCAAATCATCGTCACTGAGGAATAGTAGCGCTTAACGGCAGTCGGTTGGACGGTTGTAGTAACGGTGTGTTGCGTTGGTGTTACACAAGTAAATTCGGGCTGTGAGGGCAGAGCAACGGGCAGCCAGCAGGGCTCCGGCGGCCAACGATCAAATGCATCATCTGGAAGAGTTGGAATAATCCTTATATATATCGTATTCCTTATATATATCGTATTCCTTTTACTTTGGCCGAGAACTATCTTTGCTGAAACTCATCGTTGGAGGAGGAGGAGGAGGACGGGAAATCCTCCTCACATGCTCAACATTACAACCCCCCTCTCGCATCTTAGCCGAACGCCAAAATCGCCGTTTGTTACATGTTATAAGATCCATTGCGGGACCTTTTAATTCATGCTAAGGAGATCCTTTTTGTGGGGGCCTGGTAACGGGTTTCGCTTCCGTGCGAAAATGGACTGCACAGCGGCTGGGCTCGGACGCACGATGCGAGGCATTAGAGAGTAGGAGGTTGTCTAATGAATCGGAGCTAAGCGGTGAGGATGTCGAACTGCCGCGAGGTACGGAACCTGTACATGCTGTTCTTCCCTTGGAAAGGGGACCTGTAGCTGCAGGGGGCTTCCACATAAACCTCCGCAAAGTTACAGCTGGGGCTGTAACAACCTTCTGTTGGTCGAGGATTACTATGACTGGTCGCGTACTGGCCCATTTGAATCTGGACAGACCCGAACACCGTTATGCTAACGGCAAAAAACAAGAGAGTGTGTGTGCGGTGCGACCAGTTGGACGGTGCAACCAGTTGTTGATCCCGGCCTGAATCATTCATGCACGGATCACCCCTTGCACCGTATACACCTCGATGGCCTCACCCTTTACTGCATACATACCCCCTCTACCAGCTGCTGCAGGCCGGTCATCAGTGTACTTCTGAATGGAGCCGCTGGATCCTCCAGCTGGCAGGAGCTGCAAGGTACACGCAATAGTCTGCACCCGAAACTGCTTTTTCCGATACTGTGGGCTGCCATTGCCCATGGCGCTATAGTCCACACGGGCCAGATTTATGAGACGAATCAACCTACATAGCGCCACCATTGGCACCAGGGTACGATAGGGGCAGCCGCCTGTAAAATAAGGTAACTTCGCTGATGTTGCTGTGTTAGCCGCCACTCCAGATAGTGGGGACTGTGACCGGGAGTTTGTTGAGGGGGTTATATATATTGCAGGGGTACGGCTGTGGACTCAGCAACCGATTTTTGTATGTATTGGCTGATGTGCATCCCAGTCAGCTTTGGTCCTCTGCCTTGAAGGGCTACAATGCTGCCTCCAGATGAGGGCTGTGATGGTGAGACTAACAAAACACCCTCGGTGGTCTGTTCCCATCCGTGAGGGGTCTGCAATCGATCCATCGCATTCATATTGCTTCCGAGGTCCGCCGGTTTGTAGGTTTACTGCTGCCACGTGCCTTCCTGCCTTCTCCTTCCCCCCTGCATTCACCTCTCCCGTCTCCTCTTTGCTCTTCCCCCGCTTCCCAACCCCGCTCCTTTCCCCCCCTCCAGAACCTCATCCTGCCCTCAGGGGCCCAGCTGGTGGGGGGTCGCTACACCCCCCTGGCCGCCGCGCGTAGTTGGGGCTGCAGGTGGGGGGTGGAGGAGCTGCTACAGAGGGGGCCACAGACGGGGGTGTGTTGGACGGTGGAGGAGCAGGCAGGAAAGGTGGGTACTTGGGGTGTGTGTGTGTGTGGGGGGGGGGGGAAAGAGAGAGGGAAGGAAGTATGGAAGTTGAGCATCAACGAAGCCGGGGTCCACAAGCGGGAGGACCTCCTTCCTTTCCCCTCCCTATCCAGGGATTCATCTTTTCGTGTACCTCCCCGCTCCCCCTCCCCCCACCGCTCCTCCCTCTGCCACCGCGCCCCCACCCCACCCGAACCCAATGCAAGAAAGGCTTTCCATACTTACCCCTACCTTACCCTGATTTGGACTTGTACGGCAATTTTGTTCTTGAGACATCGCTGCAGCACTCATTACTATTTTTGCCTCATGTATCATCGTACATATTCGCTTATGTAGGCCCAACCGCCAGAGTACCAGTTGTGTTCCAGTCCTTAAAGAAAAATGGGCCCATATCTTTTTATTGTGTAACATCGGAGTGACCAGATCCGAGCGTCCCAGTGCAATCCCTCAACATCAGCACTACGGGAGAGGTCTACGATAAGGGTGCTCTGGCCTGGGGGATCGGGGTCGAAGAGAGGCGGAATGCTTCCGGGGAGCTGGGTCAACACCGGCAAGGGTGTGGCACACACGTGATTCCGTCACTAAGTCCTCCCCACATCCGAAATTCCCTTTTAGGAACCCCTACATACGATTACTATTGGAATCCGCCAAATTTTATATCCCACGTAACTGAACCGCATTGCCAAGAGCGTGTTTGAGATTGTCCACATCATCGCAACACTGCAAAGAGCTAAAAGCAGCTTTATAGTTTTCGCAAATTTCCGCAGTTTCCGCGGCGTTTCCGCAAAGGGGTTCCCGAATACGAAACGTTTCCGCAGACCTGGTCAAGTTTCGGCTACATCCCTGGACCATGTTTCCTCTGCACATCGTGTTGGATGTTTTCCCAGGAGAAACAATTGTGAAGGAAGTCATAGGTCTTGCTGACTCCCCAATGAGCCATGTCGTAAGCCTCCTGAAAGGCTGCCAGGTGCTCCTCAGGTTTGAGAACTCGCACACATGACTGCTTAATTGAGCTCAGCTCTTACAGCTGGCATTCGTAAGTTCATACCAAGCGGCCTTCTTGCATAAACTTGTCATCTCCCCCAGGTTGTCTTCTCCGGATGCCAAAACATCAACAGGAAGCTTGCCAGTCTCTAAGAACCAGATCAACGCGCTATCCTGCCAAATATCTGTACAGATCGAAGGTCCAGGCTTCGGTGCCTCACTGGAGCTGTTAGGTAAGAACACTGGAATCCGCAGGGTTGCGCACAGCGCCATGCTGATCAGGTAAGTAGTTAAAAACGTTTCTTGCTATGCAGCAATATTTAAGCCGGTCGGCAGGCCAGCCCAACTGAATTCTCCCAAATAAATAGTGCAGGTCACTTTTGTGGTTTTCACAGCCAGACCGCAATAACAGTAGATATGTAATTACACAGTTCGTAATGGCGGCGAGAAGTTGGGAGTCCACACCTGGATTCTGAAACTTGTGGACGTACGTGCACGGAAGCAGGTCGGCGGGCGAGGTCAAACAAAGGCGGGCAGGCCGACAAGAAGGCACGGGGCACATGGGTTGTAGACTAGACATCAAATGCTCTATGCGACTTAAGATGCCGTATCGGCATACTGTCCCTGACGCTTGTCGGTCTACGAGCTCGTGGAAGGCAGGCAGGGCAGCACATGAATTATGCATGTACGTTCCCTCGATAGGTTTTCAACCGTAAATTTTGTGCAAGTCGGCGAGTGAAGTGGAAGGCGGCTGACATGGCCGACACGAAGGCCTCTATATTCCATATAGTCGCAGGGCGCGAAAGAATACCACGTGGCTATACGTAGAGGACAGTAAGGAAAATTGGGGGGGTTCCTGGGCGTTCAGCCGGCGGGGTTTCCGTTGTTCCCTCTGTTTGTCCTTAACCTTGGGGGATAAGAGAAGCCTACGTTCTCATGTGCGATAGATTCTTGTGAAAAAGCTTTTGTCGGCGCTTCCCCATGCAGTCAGCCGGCTACCCGCCGGCGAAAAAAAGAATTAATTTGGTTTGTGAACCCGTCTGACGGGACTAGAAGTGATGTGAGAAATATGGATGGCTTTACTGTTAATATTGTTTTTTTATTTGCTATTAAATTCCCGAAAATGGCTTGAAGCGCCGATGACACTCGCTGCGCGTTCGCCGACCCGCCCGCTCGATTGCACAAAAATGAAACAAGGCAAAGCGACTGGCAGGCAGCAGCCAAGCAGCTGTCAATCAACAAGCATTTAATGGTTGACCCAATTGGCAGCGGGTCGAGGCGATTTGTCCTCCTACATGTGCACTGTGGAAAACCTTATTACGAATAAAGATTACAATTCGTTTGCGTAGCTGGGGGCATAAAATGAACTCATTCACCTATGTAGGATTGCACCTATCAAAAAGTAGTTAAAATACTTCACCATCGCACCCAATTGGCGGAAGCGATGGGGGGCGGCGTCTACAAGCGACAGGGAGGTATCACGATCAACACGAGGTGATGGCTCGCGCTTACTAGGTATTTCCCGTGGAAAACTATAAGAATATACTGAAAAAAACTACAACAATGGCAAGGTAAACTAGCAGGTGTCGGACGCCTGTATTGCCAGTACCGGTATTCCGGAATTATCGAAAGGCGTCCCTGCAAGTCTTTTTAAAGGATGCCCTGCCCTGTATATGATACATTTGTCACTTGCAACTTTTCTGTCTGAATAAACTTTCTGCATTACAGGTAGCATTTCAGAACAGCAGAAGACACTTCTTCGCGAAGAGCACATCTGGCCTAACGAAGTCCGATGGCAGGTTAAGGCCATCAGCAGTTCCTAATGATTGCACCATTCAGATAGCAGCTAGCTGAAGCTGCGCGCATGACGGCGATTGAGCGTCACCTGATCCCTATTGTGCGGGCCGATGGTGCGCACGTTACCAAGCAAGCATTAAGGACCAGAACAGGGTTGATGACACAGCCGCATCTAGGCTTCGATTCAGAATCCTGTCTGTATTTTGAGCTGAACTTGTTCCTTACGTGCCTGATGGTAAAAGGACATAGCCGGGGGGATACATGCAGGGCAACAGTGTGTCTCTCTCTCTCCCCCTCTCTCTCCCCCTCTCTCTTCCCCTCTCTCTTCCCCTCTCTCTCCCTCTTTCTCTCCCCCTCTCCCTCCCCCTCTCTCTCCCCCTCTCTCTTCCCCTCTCTCCCTCTCTCCCCCTCTCTCTCCCTCTCTCTCTCTCTCCCCCTCTCTCTCCCTCTCTCTCTCCCTCTTTCTCTCCCCCTCTCCCTCCCCCTCTCTCTCCCCCTCTCCCTTCCGCCCAGGACGGAGGAACGTCTTCGTCTGTGGCATGCTCGTGTATTTGATGTACACAATAGGCTTCACATTGGCTTTGGAATAGCTTATGTAGGCGTGAGCTTCCTTTGCTGCATTAGAGGATTCGACAACTTGTAAGATCCGCCGCACCCATAAATCCACTACCGGTAACATGTTTCACTTCGGGAATCGGACCGCACAATACCCGTTTGTGTTGGCGAGCTTCGTTCTGATGCCCAAAGTCCCCGTTTTCTTGGGCTTCCGACGGCTTCTGCTATTGCCACGCATCCACCAGCCTTTTGAACGGGCGTCGCTGTAGTCCCGTCGTTCAGCTCCATCCTCGCAAGGCGCTTCTCCTGGCAAGTACCTATCTACCCTTTCCAGTGAGCCCTCGAGCGCACACATCGCTGGTCCACCCCCAAGGGGTGAAATAGATCGGGGTGTCGAATGCTGATGAGATGAGACACTGAGGTTCCTCCAGTGCGCTGGGCGGCTGGAGGGGGAGCTCACCATCAAGATCTACACACTGCCGCAGAGCAGTGGCGGAGGAATAATTCTGCCTAGGGCCTGGACCAGAGGCTGTATATACCGGATGGTGGTGGTTGGATAACGAAACCGGGCGGCGGCGGCAGGATTCGCAAGGATAGGGTGGCGCGATTGGCGCACAGGTGTGCGTGCAGCTATTGGCAGATCGCGCAGCTGTAGAGCAGGCGCTCGGTGTAACGGAGGTTGCTTGGCATCTGAGCTGGTGTGTGTAGCTGGCTTGAGGATTCGAACACGGCGCCTTGCGATAATGAGGATGAACGGTTAGGACTCTGACCGATATAACGCCCCTCCAATGATGGAGTGCTTCGGCGGTCGTTCCCGTTGCGGTATACGGTTAGATGCTCCTGGCCAGTGTCAGGCCCGGATCGGTGTGTAACAGATACATACATACATTGTTGCCGGTTTCGCCCTGGCCATCATGGTACAGTGGGAATCACTGGCACTACGGGTCGCGCGCGTGGGTGACAGCAGGTGTGAAGCTGTACCCGCGTTCAGCTGACCCATGAAAAGGTAATTGCGCGGCGTTGCGTTGCTACTAGGATGGTTCGCCTTTCCCTGCAGACGGACTTTCCGTGAACCGGAAACGGAAACCTGGATCTTCTGGAGTGAATCTTCTGGTTGGCTTGTGTCTTACTCTGCAGTACATAGCAACTGACGTCGATGCTGATCCCGTCAAGGATTGCAACTCTGAGCTCCCCACGGGCAAAATAGGCAACCGACGTCACAACCGACGATTAACCACGAGCGAAGTCTACTGGCAGGAGGTGCCATCCAATGCCTGCTATAGAGCTTCGCCTGGAGTGAGGAATCTGAGCCGTCCTAAGGACGCTCTGATGGTTTGTCGTACGTCATTTTTGTGGCTACTTTCGAAGTAATCTTGCGTACCGGAAGACGTACACGTCATCGTGTCGTGCCAAAACAAGGATGATGCGATCCCTTCCCGCTTTCCTCTTCTCATGGCGAGAATCCGGTTTTACTCGGTGATCGTGCGAGTTTTCCAGTTCGACCAAGGAAGCGCTACGGAACTTGATGCTACTGACTCATTCTTGACACGGCGATTACGCGGCAGATACGCCGGGATTAATGAAGGGTACCCGGGACGCAGCAAAGTCGTCTTCATGTGGAGCAAAATGCAAGCGATCATTCGATGCGCAGTTTCGTGGCACTCGAACGGCACAGTCCTGCTCGACCTCGTGGACCGCAGCTTCAGTCCGTTGTACCGCTAAAAAGTACGGCGGCTTGGGAAGGGCGATTCAACCACGGTTATGTCGATTTATAAGGAGAAAGCCTTTCGGTTTACGCGAGAGCACAAGCGTGCTTTGGAATGAGTAATCAGCGTGACAAACAGGACCGCACTGGGAAGCTCCGTCCGCCATAAGTGCCTTCTCTCTTCAACCCTACTGATTACGTTGTTCGGACAGCGACTTCTTCGTCCCACGTTGATTTCCTCTGTACCGCACTTTTCGTTATAAGTCGCTATTATGTGAGAAAAACCAGGTGGGACTTTCATCATCGTACCTGGCATTAAACACAGCAATCAAAGGCTCCAAGTTGACCGCCAAACCGCTCTAAGGTCGGCCCGACAAGTGCCGGACAACTACCTCGTCGTATAGCTCTATCATTACAAGCGAAGCTGTTACCTCTGGTTGCCTTTGTTGCATTTCTGCATTTTTAATCGGAATAGGTAGCCCATTATCGCTCTACCGCCTCTTAGCTCAACTCTATTATACCCTTTGCCAGTCCGTTTAATTTCAAACCTCTTCATTCCCTGCGTGATAGAAGAGGCTTTTACACAAATACGTTAGCCTTACCGCATTCAGGGTAGTTGAGCCTTCCTAGAGGCAGCTTACACGTGGTGGGCGACAGACCGCAACCTACTTCTTCCATATTTTAGATCAATACAGGCCGGTCGCTAAAGCTGTAATCTTGTACCCTGAGGTGCGTCTGGGAGGTGGGCAATGTGCCTATTGCTTCGTAACAAGCCATGAGACCTGTCCAGGCGTACCTGCGCCGGCGGGCGCCCAGTACTTGGCAAACGCCGGCTAAAGCAAAGCATGACTATGCTTAATTAACATAGAATTGAAGCTTGAGATGTTGCACCTTCGACCTTAGGATGGTAATCAAAACTTTACATCCTTCATCTTCATGTAATCATCATTTATGATGCTTTAAGATGCTTCTCCTTAGCGGCTTTCACGTTGATATCGCTGAGCGAGGCGGCTTTAACACACTTTTTGCCACCACACCTCTCAAACATGTTCGCGCCCCCCTTTTGTATCTTCCAGCTTGCAGTGATTTCTTACCATAAGGCTTGGCCTAATTATTCAGTCAAGGACGCTCCCAGCAATTTGGTCAGGTATCGTGGAGCTCCATACGCCGCTACTGCGTCCCCGACTCGGGCGGCTTCCGTGGCTGACGCATCTCCCGCACTGACTGCACACGGAGCAATTAAGGCTGGATCAATTATAAACACGAATAGTGTGTAGTAGTTAGGAAGGGCCACAACAAACATCTTCGCTCTACCAATAGCTCTCAGAGCAGCCAGCCACTCGCCCAACCTCAGGAACAGCCGCCCATATTTTTCTTAACCACCGCCACCGTCGCCGCCGCCGCCGCCGCCGCCAACAACAGCAACAACAACAGCAACAACAACAACAACATCAACAACAACAACAACAACAACAACAACAACAACAACAACAACAACAACCCACACGAGCTACGCCACCATAGCTCCTGCGGTGGCGGCGTTAACTACATTCCCGCCACCGCAGCACTCCTAGAAGCACCGGCGTTTTCCAAACCAGCATAAATACCACCATCACTATCACCACCACCACTACGTTGCCGTCGTCCTCCCCCTCCTCCTCCCCTTTCTCCTCCCCCTCCTACCACTACTACGACTACTAATCTTCCTCAGCCTCTGCAATGGTCTTATTTCTGTTGGCCTTCGCCTTGCTTTTGAACAGCACCCCCAGTTGCAGGGGTCTGGCTGTTGCAACCGTCACTGACCCCACCACAAATCCCAACACGCGCTTCAGCCTTCTATCTACTGCATCTGCTTCAGCATCCGCATCAGAAATTGCAGCAGCAGGGTCATTGGCAGTAGCAGCGGTGAACGGCGGAGCTCCTCGTTTTGCTGCTGCTGATGTTGCTGCTGCTGATGATGATGATGATGATGGGGAAAAACCGGATAACGATATGGCTATCACTGGCTCCGCCGCAGCTGCGGATGTGGCCGTCCGGGAGTTGCAGGAAACCGGTTGGCTCACGAGTGATGCATCGCCCCCTGACTACCTGAACTGGCCCATTGCGCCGCCGTCGCAGCCACGTCCAAACGCCCCCCCACCGAGGCCACCAAAGGCTCCCAAGAAGAAGAGGCCGCCGCCGCCACCGCGACCGCCCAAGTCCAAGCCACCGCCGTCATCGGCGGTGCTGATGTTCGGCCCGACTCGGCCCATGGAGGCAAGTCCACCAGCTGGCGAGCTGCAGTTGTCATCTCCTCCCGTGGCCCCATCTCCCACCTCCCTCCCATCACCCTCCCCTCCACCTTTCCCTCCACCCTCTCCCCCACCTTCCTCTCCACCTTCCCCTCCACCTTCGCCTCCACCTTCCCCTCCACCTTCCCCTCCACCTTCCCCTCGACTTTCCCCTCCACCCTCTCCTCCTCCTTCCCCTCCACCTTCCCCTCGACTTTCCCCTCCACCCTCTCCTCCACCCTCTCCCCCACCCTCCCCTCCACCTTTCCCTCCACGCTCTCCTCCACCTTCCCCTCCACGCCCTCCTCCACCTTCCCCGCCACCCTCTCCTCCACCTTCCCCTCCACCCTCCCCTCCA